CAACTCTTCATAGTTTAATAATTGTACTTACATGCAAATCGAAACGATCGTATAAACGCGCGATCTCTTCATCCGTTTGTCGATTGCGAATATTGAACGTCGCCGCCGCAGAACAATGGACGCGCGAACACAACAATCGCGATATATCGTAATAAAAAAAAAATTAATAACAATAATAATAGTAATTATATTGTCGACGGCATCTCGGATTGCAGTACCTACCTACCATTCACGAATTTCATCACGTTTGCCGATTTCAGAAACGGACACGACGCGACAATTAATTTATTGTTATATTATAGAGACGTGCGCGCGTGCACTCTTGTATGTATTATTAGGTAGGTACCTAGGTATACTGCTGTATGTAATATTAAACAATAAACATAATCGATTCGCTGCTCCGCACACACAATATATTTTTTATTTGTCGAAACGTCATTACGTCTTGTATATTATTGTTTTGGTTTGTAGAATTTAATCGCGGGACGCTCAATTTTTTTTGTCATTTGCGTGTGTATTGGTATCTATGTATTGCATCCGTTCAGGCTTTCAGCGACCGTATGGCGCCTTCTTTTTGGAGCACGCGTATACGATAACAAAATGTGTATATTACATGCATATACAGAGTGTTTCGCCAGAGATGATCACCATCATTTCCCCTTAAATTATGCATTTATTCAAATTCCGATTTTTAAAAATTGTTTCTATTTACTCCACCAGTCAGCCCTTATAAAAAAAAAAATAATACTAAAAAGACTTTCTTATGCCATTTAAGGGGGTGTTCTGTGGTGATACAAAGATGTTTTTTTTCGAATGACAAAATATAGAACCTTTTTTTGTTCACTTTAAATTCTTAAACAGTTTATATTTTATTTAGGAAGGCATAGATGAATATAATTCAATTTTCAAACAAAAAGTTTCTTAGATATTGAATTTAGTATTAAAAATATATACCTATGATAATACCATTATTTATAAATACTAGTATTAATAATCAATTGTAATACGTCTAGCCGTCTAGGTAAAGAAGTTTGGGCAATAATAAATTGAAAAATTATAATAATTAGTATTCATCTATTATCATTTTATAATACATTTTTTAAAAGGTTCCTTAGTATAATACTATATTATTAATATCAAATCAAATATGTAAAGATAGATTCCATAAAAAAATGTATTTATTTAATGTCTCACGGAAATTAAATAGACTAATCATGGTCCTCTAAATCATGTTTAATTCCATTAGCTCATTCATTAAATTTTTAGTGCAACCGCCGACCTGACATATTACCTACATCTAATTTATATTTGATGCAAAAAGTAAATCCATTATTAATATGATTATCCCAAATACACAAAGTTTTAAATCTCGGAAAATGACAGAAACTTATAATAACTCCTTATAATAATTTTGATTTAGATATATTATAAGATTTAAAAAAAATATGGTTCTTATTTGGAAAAAACGATGTTTATAGTTTATACGTTTTAAGGTTTAAATGGTATAACAATTTAAGTATTTAAAAATGTGAATAAGACATATTATTATTGTATTGAAGACCATCAACCCGTATGAACGTAAAATAATAACATTATAATAGCTGTTTTGTTCTCTAACCAAACGCACGTGCGCGATCGTCATCGACTCCTTTCCCTACAAGGACATCACGTATACCTATAATATTTTTCCGTCACCACGTGGTGAATTCGATCGATTTTTCTTATACAGTATAGGTATGTATACCCTAAATCTATGCTGCAATTCTTTCAAAATTAAATTCTACATTGAATACATAATACTATGTTTGAGGAACGCTTTCGATTTTTATTTTACTATAAAGAGGTTTTCTTCTTCGAATATAATTTAAGCATTAACAATCTTCGATTACAAATTTATTATTGGATGGAGATGTTGACTTTAATCTTTCAGTCATCTTATATATTATATTTATATACCTCGATTAGCCATGATTTGTGTTGATGTAATAATATTGTACAATAAATATGCCTCACAAATAATTCGAGCACGTTAACAATGTTGAACGTTAAACTCTGTAGTTGCACCAAAAGTCAAGATCGATGAAAGGGATCAAAAAGAATATTATTCAAGGTACGAGGTACGAGGTACCTATATAATTGTAATAATACATAATAGTTTATACCTATAGGTAAATAGGTGAGCAGTGTGAAAACGGTGACTGAATATAACATAATATATATAGACGCGTTAATCATAATGAGTTGATCGTTATTGTAAAAACACTAATAATCCTTAAACAATTTTTTTTTTTTTTTGCAATTCATGGAAAAAGGGAAGTAGCATACATTTTATTTAAAAAAACCGATTTCAAAATAGCAGGGTTACTTTCCAATTAGTTCACATACTGCGTATATTATTGCAGTATAATAGGTAACTGCAAAGTTTGCACATTATAATATAAGCGTTGCACAACAGTAATTTCCATTATACTATACGAGCTGTTATCGTCGTCCATATTATTGTCGCTGGAATTCAATCTAAAGTCATTCTGTTTACGTTTCCGCGCACGATATCGCCTCGGTACGTATAATAATATATAACAATAACACTTTTGTTTAAGTCATGTCACGTGCAGGCTTACCTAAATGCACATGCACCGGCGGTTGACGGCTTTTTCGACATTTACCTACCCATACTATATTACAATATACCGCAAAATCATTCCGTTTCGACAGACTTTGTCACCGACGGCCGCGGCATATCCTATTTGATATATACCGACCACGACGACTATATTATTATAAAATAATAGCTGATGGTAATATTATTATAATGTCGGGGTAATGTGGTCTATATATATAATAATATATTGTATTATAATACGTATAATATTATATATTATTATATAGATAACATGGGTACCTCGGATAATAATGCGCGGGACAAGCGGCGGTGGTTTTCGAACGGTCAGTAATCAGGTGGTTTCGCAATAATTATAATTATCATAATAATAATAATAATAATATAGAGCCGCGGTTCCAAATATGGGCCCAATTAACAATAATAATATATTACCCGGGTAATAGTGCTCGACGTGGCTTACAGCGCCAGCATACTATCATTTTCATAATATGCGATTTCGTTCGTTCCCTGCGGAGAACCGCCGCCGTCGAAACGAAGCGTATAATAATATAATATATATTCCTAATAATCTAATGATACGCGTAATAGGTAAGTATCGATATTATTATTATTATTATTAGATGGTAATATTATAATATCACGTCGGCTCACACGGTACTAGATAATAAGCGCCACCGAGCGGCGGTAGCGGCGTCGGCGACAGCGGACGACAATGCAGTCGCTATAGGGTCTCTTCGGTGACGCGGGAAAACATGACTTTGTCTAAAGGTAGATAATAGATATAGTCTCGCATAATGAAAAATATATATAATATCATAATATGCAGTATGCGAGTGAATATTATTATAATATATTATACAATATACCTAGTTACCGGCATATTATTATTATAAAGCTATAGGCCGACGCCAGTAATACATACGCCTATTATAGAATATTATTATGTTTGCCAGAAAAGGTTATTTCGTTCGTGGTCTGACGTTTTGTGAAAACGAGTTTAACGTTCTTAAAAGCCTTCGGGATAGTGTGGGGCTGGGTTGATTTTTGAAAAACGATTTTTTTTATTCTTTCGCGAGGTCGGTTCGATCGTGCGACGCGAAGGCGACGATAATGTGGCAACGACATATTATCATATTGTTTTATTTTATTTTTCCAAAGACCTAATCTGACACTATGTATGTAGCATGTGTTATTTATCTTTTTGCTGTATACCTATGGAAAATCGGGGAAATAAAGTATTTATGAGGGATATCATACACAATAGTATAACCAAAACCCCATTGGCAGATATTATTTTTTAAAGCGCTGGGTTTTTCCTCGATAGTCCTCAAGTCGGACCTAGTATATACAAGAACAAAATTCAACAATGACGATGATTGTCAATATTTTATAACTAACTCAAAAAGTTTAATCTACTTTTGAATATAGTCATTATAGCATGACGAATTCAAATACGTTGATTGACCAAATATTTTAATGACTAAGACATTTTTTTTCAGAGACTTGCCTTACAATCTTCCCCGCGGTGTCTCATGGGTAACGCAAATAGGCAGATTTCGGGAATAAACAATATGTGAGCTGAGATTCAAATGAACTTTCGCAAATCAATTAATACATAAAGTAAGCCTCGGAAATCTATACACATCCACACCGAACATAGTTTATTCAATACGAGGTCTTCAACCTTATTAGTTATTATAGTCTCGTGACTCTAGTGATAAATTATTATTTATAATATGACACCCCTAATGTTAAAAAAAAAAAAAAAGTTGGTTCATAAATAATCCAGTTTTATTTATTTTAAGTGTTTTTTTTTTTTTTAGTATTATAAAATGTGTAATGTTAATTTTTATTCACTATGTAAAATTGAATAAAATATATGTAAAATGTTCAACTATACTCTGTTTTTCAAATTTTTAAAAAAGTATATCGCGACCTTATTCTGAATCTCATGTGACCTACTGTTTGAAGACCACTGCTGTACGGTATATTAAGGTATAAACAACAGACGTTTTAATATATATCACATGAGTCATACGTGTATAAATAAATGTAAACACTAGTTCGGTCATTTTATATGTCACTGTTGTAGCAAGTATGTACATTCCACTTTTAAATTGCAGTAAATAATAATTAAATGTTATACAAAATACCTATAAATATGTAATGTAATATATTATGACTTAATATGTGTAGCGAGAAAATGTGCCTACAAAAAAAGTATATAATAATACACGTGACATGTGAACCATACACTAACAATAAAACCTAAATTTAATAATAAATATTACGAATCATAAAAAATTGATGACATTATTATTGACTTTATTAGTATCACGTGTAAATGAATAATGTAAATTATAATAATAAATCTTACCTTTAAACCGTCCCTGAGCCACGTGATCTTCGGCAATGGGTCACCCACGATCTCTGAATCGATTATCACTTCTTGGCCTTCTTCTACTTCTTGAAATTTTGGTTTTACGACGAACTTTGGTTTTTTTGAATATCTATTCGAGAAATAACATTGATATTGATATGGGATCTTGTGTATAGTATTGTAAAAAAGAATAACATTGGTGAACCCAAACGATTAACATTTGAGTTTGATTTATAAAAAATTATAGTTAATTTGTTAATTTGTTTTATTCAATGACATAATTTTGATAAAAATTAAATTAAGTAACAATTTTTAGGAAGTCACGTATTTTGAAATAGGTTTGAAAAATTGGCTGATTATTTATTTTGTATTAAATATAAATAAAATGAAATGACTGATGATTAAAAATTTGAATTCAAATGGGCACACCACACATCAGAAAATAATCCATATGTCCCATTATAAAATGCCAAAGGTGATGTAACGTCTCCAGTGTTCGTTACAGTGGGAATTAACTTGTTAAAAAGTTAAAGTTAAGTTACACAGTTAATTCCTTTTAAGTTTTCAACTTAACTAGTTAATTATTATTGTTTTTAACTTGTTAACTTATACAGTTAGAATTGTTATTGTTGTAACTTAACTTTTTATAGTTAATTATAATTATGGTGTAGTTAAGTTAATTTTCTTTTCGTATCACGCGGAGCCAACAGACAACACTGATTTATTGACTCTTTTCGATTTCGGTAATTTATTTTTTAATAATAATCTGATGCTTGTACAGTGTTAAACATCTTGGTAAATGTTTGTGTAAATGAAAATAATAGGGCATTTTATGACTTAAAAATATTGCAGCTTGAAAAAAAGCTTTTTTTTAATGAGTTAATTTTATTTTATTTTCTATCTTAACTTTAAACTTATCGAGTTATATTTTTTTTCTTTGTTAACTTTTCACTTTAATTGAAGGCAATTCAATTGAACTAACTTAACTTGTCACAGTTAATTATTTTCATTAACTCGCCAAACCTTGTCAAAACCCTACCCACTGCGGGGTATATCCGTATATAAATATTATTATATTTTACTCACAAATGATTAATCAAAGAGATCTGCTCCATCCCTGTGTCTTTATGTTCGCGTTCCACCACATTGACTTCGCAACGACTTTCTACAGTGCCAGTGTCATTAGACACTCTCAACATATAAGTGCCTGAATCACGGTTTGTTACACACGCTATCCTCAGTTCTAGGTTTCCGTCGTGATCAGTAATTATGTCTACTCTCCGTCCGTTTCTTAATTGAATTCCGTCTCTGAACCTGCAAATAAAAATCAATCGAATATTTTTTGACATATAATTATGTATGTCTAAACGTAGGAAAGATAGTTTAGTCGTTTTGATAATAATATGAAATAACTCATTAACCCCCGATAAGTTGTTATTGTTTATAATATAATACATGTGTTTCGTAAGCATTTAGTATTTTTTTGTGATGTAAAAAATAAAAAGGTCCATCAGTATTAATTTTTAAATCAAATCAATTGTTAATAGTGTGTAAAAGTATGTTCCAATTGCTCCGGTAGTAAAACTACTACAGTAATCACGGAAATCGGACTTTGTGCTTTTGAAATTTTAGTTTATTTATCGAATGAATTACTTAGGTGAAAGACCCAAGAATAAAACATATTATAATATTATATATATTTTAGTAAATAGCAATACATACAAATTAAAAATAAACAAATACAATTAATAAATTCTTAAATTTAATACTCTAAAATCAAATGGAACAATTAGACTAGGAATATACTTATACGTCACATTATTCGTTATTCATTATTTATAATTTATATATTATGAATTTCATTAAATTTTGCATACTATGTATCTTACAATCAGAGTCAAATCATTACAAACATTAAGACATTTATCCAATTACATCGTATTTTAATTTATCCTCATTAACCGGTGTGTGACTAGTGAGTATCGGTATATAGTAGACAATTTTTTTCTAACCGTGGGTCGTTCAATATTCGGTGACTGCCTACTATAATAGCTGTACCTACCATGAACTCGATCTAAAATATTAAGAACCTAAATGCTACCCGTATCAGACTTAAATGCTGGTGCATAAAAAGATTTTGTATCCGAACGGAGGCTCACCATTCGACTTTGACGGGACGGTACGCGTCGATTTGTGCGCTCAAAACGATCGAGTCCACAGCTTCGCTGGTCGGCGGTAGACCGAAAACGAACGACGGTACAGCTGGATCGGTGCGGTTCTTGTTGAACACTTCCAACACACACCGAGTGGATGCCTTTCCGATCGCGTTGGACGCCACCGCTGCATAAGTACCGCTGTCGTCGTACTTGACTCTGGTCAGCTCCAGGGTATAGAAGTCGTCCGAATCGTCCCTGACCGGTGGTTTCCTGTCACCCTCCGTTGCACCTGCGAAAACGAGAAGCAACCGGCGTCATCATAATATTATAATATATTATTGAACAGCTCTACAACGACTATAGGTGGAGATCATATTCATTTCCATGAAATAATTATAATACTTTTGGGTGTTAGGACGTGGTACCCGTCATGTGTTGTGTCCGTCTTACAAGTGCGTAACATAGGAAATTTTAAGTTCAGCAAAACATGTGTAGTTCCGTTGGTTTAAAAATTTGAGTGGATAATTCTCTAATAAAATCTAAAGGTAAGATTATTATCCAGGCAACCTTATGGGCTTTTTATTATATTTTAATTTGAAAGCGAGTTATGACTGTTATGAGTATTTTAAGATGTACAAAAAATTTACTGTTTTAAAATACTCATAACTCGCTTTAAAATTAAAATATAATAATTAGCCCACGAGGTTGCCTAGATAATAATCTTATTAGTTTATAAGAGGTCAATTCACTCTAATTTTTAAACTAACGGAATTACACGTGTTCTGCTAAACGTAAAATCGTCTATGTGACGCACTTGTAGACAGAGATAACACATGAGGGTATCACGAGTCACGACTATCGTCTTATACGTCCTCTTAAGTGACTTCGCACACAGTCTACAACACGATTTTGGGACCTTCAACATTTTCGATGAACTGATCACCGATTGGATATTTTTTTTATTTTTTTTTGCTGCTTTATAATGCCTTTTACTTGGAAAATCAACAAACAATAAAATTAGTACGAGAAAAAAGATTGTACGTACTCGCAAAGTCTACTGGCCGACCATCCTTGTACCATAGAACCAACGGCATGGGCAATCCGTTAACTTGACACGACAACCGGACCGTAGAATTGATATCCACTCTGCGGTCGATCAGATGTTTGGTGAATACCGGCGCAGATTCTTTGAAGTCATTGTTTTTCATCAGACACCTACAACAATAAATATTATAGTATATACAAAAATATATTATAATATGACAATATGTCCATAAACAAAATACGTCATAGCATTAACATTATTGTCCAGCTCTTATCAATAATTACAATAAAAATTGTAATATTATAATAATTTATAATTTTTTTTAGGCAAGACCGATTATAACTCTAAGCTTGGGATGCGCACTCTTTAGTTTCCGAATTGAAACATACGAGTATTTACTCACTCATTACATCAAAAGTATTTTGCAACTATTGAGATAATCCTTGGTTGGCGTCCCCGGTGTAGCTTTATTATTTCAGTAACATTGTATATAATATATTATAGTAAATAATATCAATCAAGTGAATAAAAAAGACGAAATATTGTAACTACAAAACAGATGGAAATTACAATATATTGTGACATTATTAAATATTTTTAAAAACTGAATGAAATGTCTTTTGTCCATAGAGTTCGCGATTAACAAATATGTTTTACGAGAACAAAAGACGATACACGGCGAAACGAAATCTCGGTTACCTATTTGACTGAATAATATTCGTTAATTACAAACAGTTTGTATATTCAAATAACTGTGATTAAATTGCATTGTGACACCCAAAGTATTTCACGTACAAATATTATATAATACAGCTGGGTAGAATAACGCAGTTCATAATACCTAAATTATGTACCTACTATTACAACATAATATAAGCATTAACCAATTGTTCGGCCTTGCTCGCAAATCATCTCTGGTATCGTTTTGATATTTGTTGCTACGTTGCAAATATTTTTGACACTTCGAAGGGCACATGTTTTTCACTTAAACTATTTTAACTTTAACAAAAAATATAATGATTACTATATTCAAGCCTCGTGCTTTCAGCGCATTGATTTCATAAACAACGGAGATTTAATAAAAAAAAAAAACATTCAATCCATAACCATTAATTATTGTAATAAATAAATAAATAATACTAATTAATAACCCACTAAGACAAATAATATTTGTAGAGAAATTTCAAACAAATATTTGGTGAGTCGAAATAGCATGTCTATTGTTTTGTTTTTATATCTTCTCAAATTATGTCATCGTGTGATGGAGTAATACGTATTTTATAATATTATATTAATAACTGTTTGAAAATATTTTCCTTGTGCTCCATTCATAAAAACGTTAGACTGAATTTTCTAATCCATATAGAGAATGGCCGTTTAAATAACTTTCAACAGTTTGACACAGTGCAGGCTTGTAAACAAAAAAAAGTAATAATGATATCTTATTGTTTAATTTCCATTCACCTGCTGAATGTAATATAGAAAGACGGATGTTATTTAAATATTCGTATAATACCGTCATAGGCTTAGTGGTTATTATTATCTATTATACTATATGATTATAGTTAAAGACGTGTTTAAGGTTTAACAACCTGGAAATTATGGCGTTATAGGAAGTTATAAACTGAAAACTGTATTTTTTTTTTCGATTGTAAGTTAATAGTTTAATGAAAATCTGTTAGCCGTTAATACACTATATTCAAGTAGTTAATCAGTTATTATCTGTATTTATAGGTACTAATCGGTACTAGATCTATCGATATTTTTTAATATTACCTACTAATACCTAGTACCTAGTTACCCATCATACTCGTATTTAGCAAACAAATATTAAACTCTAATAACAGCAAAATTTAAATTATGCGTGCAATTGAATCGATACACTAATCAGTTTTTCAGATATATGATGATTAGATGATGAATTATCTCTAAATCGAACCAATAAATAAATATTTTTAAAAAATGTCTTAAAATAATTCTTTGAATTATTAATTAGTGTAAAATTCAAATTGTGTACAAATACTCACTCGTTAATGTCCGAATACGCACTAAGGCTTAATAAGGCTTTAAAACATGCAAAATAAAAGTATCACTTTTGAAATATCCATCGCTGTCGCACGAATAGAATTAATTGTACATACTTGGAATGCCTGAGAGGCGCCAAAAAACAAAACCTCGGGGTTTCGGGGAGAGGGAAATCGAATAATATTATACGTATCGCATAATATATTATAGTACTCACCCTTGAAGCCTCCGTTCCGCCTCCACAATCTTGCGGTTGGTTATCACTTGGACGACGGTCAACGTGCACACCCTCCCCTGGTCGTTGATGGCTTCACAAGAGTACCGACCAGCGTCACAGTCCACCGCGTCAGCGATCGTCAGAGTACACTTTCCTCCATCGGTGAGCCCGACCGCGTGTCTGTCCGACGCCAGCAAAGGTTCGCCGTCTTTGAACCACCTCACCCGCGGCTCCGGAACACCTCGCACCTGTCACCATAATATCCATTTCGGTCGTCAGTTAACACCACCAAAGCAAAATCATCTTTTTATATATTTTTAGCCCAATAAATAGGCGATATCATATAGTTATGGTCGTGGGTTTTTGTTTTGCTTTTATAATGCGATATGCTGATATGTATGACAACTGAAAAGGTCATGGATACTACGGATTTTATGCTACCCAAACGAGAGAAAAGGATGTTTTCAGTATTTCCCAATTGTCTATTGGTATTAGGTAGGTATCTATAGGCATATCTTATATTATATACATGTGAAATTAGTTTTTACTTTTTAACGTAGATGGATAAATTTTTGGGCTGGATACAACTTTTTTTTTACCGTTTGACTTGCTTAACTCTTTGTTTAGTACCATAGAAATGCAAAAAAAATAAATAAATTTACATTGAAAAATAATCTATATAATTATTATTAATTCAATAAATTCCCAAAAAAATATTCAATGCTTTTTGAATATATTTTATCTATTGCACTATACCCAAAAGGCCAAATATCTCCAAGAATATCAAATACACCTATGATTCTTAAATTTTCCTTGAAGAGGAAATAACAGATTTTGCGTAACGCTTTGTGTATTGCCATAGAAACCAAAATAATTTAACAAGATTATGATATAATATTAATATTCTTAATTCATTAAAATCCTAACAATACGCAGCATACTACTAGATATTTTTCCACTGAGCTATACCCAAAAACATATCTATGATTAATCAATTTTCCTTGAATAGTACAAATATAAAGTACCGTGGTATATTATTTTCTTAAGGCTAATTTCAGATACTCAGAAAATCAATTTCAATGAAAATTATATCAATATATTAATCGAGTCGCTGGACGCCTTTATTTTACCACTATGAGAGCTATTATATGAGGCGACTTACTATAAATTTCGTTTTGAATCATCAAAATTGAATATTTTATTGTTTATTTATAGGGTTGCTATTGCTTATGAAAATACCAAATTAAAAAATTATAGACAGCTGATATGACCTGGCACGTTTTTGTGGGATTTTTGTTAAATAATAGAAAATAATACTTAATTGATTGTTTGTTATTCAAATGTATAACAAAAGAAATTTTGTTTTTGTCCTCATACTTATAGTTTATAACACTCAAAAACTACTTAACCAATTTTGACGAAAGTTTTTGAAAGTGTTATTAAAGATATCGGAAAAGTTCAGCGAGTAGGTTGAATCACGTTTGAAAATATACCAAGCTCTATATAAAATCCGTCACATATGAGATTACCCATTTCGGTCAAATTGGATAACAATGCGGTAAAATAAATACACCAATGCCAAACTGAAGTAAACTAGAACCGAAATATAGACGTATTTTATGTTTGTTAATTTTAACTCTGCGGACTCGGGTGTTACAGGTTACACCAATATGTTTGTAAATTGAGAAAATCATTACAAACATTTGAGTATACTTTTCGAGAAGTATGAAAACTATTCTATGCATAGTTATAAATCGTTAATTGGTAAATTTAACTCTGCAAAGTTGTTTGATGTTTTTACATTGTAGTGAAATATTTCAGTATTTTATTAACTAACAATGAGTGGAATTTCGATAGTTTAAATTGTATATCGTATCAGAGTACCATCACCAATAAGTACTCGATGTAATTATTGTTTTAATTGATGATAATTGTCCAACATAATTATTGTTGAGTCGCATACTCGAGTAAACAACAGACTGACAATCGAAATTCCTCTACATGTCGTGCCAACCACGTTGATACGTTTCGGATGGCTGACGTTAAGATATTCTGTGCCATCGCACACTCCCACCACAGTTATTTAACTGCACAAAAATATTACCACCACGGTGGTAAAAATAAAGAAAAGTGAATTCGTTCGCAGTGACAATAATAATAATAATGTGCTTACAAAATAACGCATAGCATAACATTCCTGATATAATGTATTATTATTTATTATGTACTAGCCAAACAACGATATATTGACGTTCGGAAAAATCACCGGAGGACCTATATGCACGTGGTCATCAGAACCTTTACAGCCAACCCTCTTTTGACACTTATCCCACCTTCGTCTAGCGGTTTTATGGAGGCATCGTTCCGTAATGATAAAAATGACCACTATACAAGGCAGTATATTTATGGACCGATCACATAATACATAATAATATTTATTTATTTATTTTATTATGCTTCAGCCCGGCGACTGTGGCCATTAGCTGTTGTAGGGGATTATGAACTATGGTTGGTACGGTAGGGTGTTGTTACGGTAACTAAGCAAACACGTGCCAAGGCTTTTACTACTACGAACCCGGGTGGTCACCCATCCGGGAGCTAGTAGCAGCAGGCGTTACTTACTGTCAATCGCATTCAGCGACTGGTAAGCAACACACAATATAATATTATCTATTATATAAAAGTTCTTACGTGACACTGTAAAGTTGCACTGTGCCGCAGTAAAACCCGGGTTTGTCCAGGCAATGGTTGACGGAATTCCGGTAGACACTTCGGCTCGAAAACGTCCACATACCCCTCGCTGGCTACTGGCTGGCTCCATCCAAACCTGTTGCGGGCTGCTACGCGGAACTGGTACCGGTAACCCGGTTTCAGGTTGTACACGTCTATGGCGTTTGTGGGAGTCATACCGACCTGCGAGGTACATAACACGTAGATATGATACAGAAATGTGGTCGTAAACAAGCGTAAATAGTGCCAGTGTGTGGGCTAGGGGGTTATAGGTACACGTCATGGGGTTTCATCGATTCCACCATTTTAATATCGATAATGCAGGACATTTGTATATTTAGTTGATTCCATCGCGGCTATCGATTCAATATAAAATACATATAGTTTGGCAAAATAAAAACAATACAATATTATTGATAATAAATCCAATAATTACTTACAATTAATATACAATAGCTCAAATACTGCAGACGGGGGTTATTATATTTACGAAATTAAATAAAATTGTAATTTTTTAAAATAGCGATTTTATGCCAGTTTAATATAAGTGAATCTATCAAATTGTTATTTATATAATAGTCTACAGGTTTTGTTATTTTCGATGGCCTATTATAGAAGACGATGCCCATATTTTCAGATTAAATTTAAATATCACAGAATTTGTTTAGCCCATAATCATCATACATTCTTGTAGTGTAAGTGGTGTATAATAATAGGGCTAAGGACTTCTAGCTTTTGATATTTATAACAAAAAAGGTCCCCGAATAATGTGAGTGAGGTATATAATAAATATGTTTTATAATAGAAGATAGATATATTATTAAAACAATTATTTATCATACCTACCTATAACTGTATTTTTGATTATATTAAACGGCACATACAGTATATATAGGTACATCGTACACATTTGGAAAATATTGATATTAGGTATAATGATATAACATAAAACAATCTGTACAAAAAGATTATTTTCAAAATGTATAGGTATACCTATACAATATAATAATTATTAATATCAATATACTACACTGCAAAGTTAGTAAGAAGTGTGCTTCAGTTCAGGTCAATTATTTTATCGAAATATTTTATTTTTATTTTTTCATCGTATAAATATTATAATAAAATTTAAGTAAGTAATATATTTTATACAACTCATTTTTTTAGATAATATTTTGAACCCATATTTTTCGTTTTTTTAAATGCAAACACGTGCATTCATATTTTGATTTTTTGAAGTACCTACTAGCCCTACCTCAGCCCTTATAAATAATATAAAAGCCAGCTGAATCAACATATACAAAAAGTCCGGAACTTCGTAGTTCGTACCTGTCGCCAGCATTCCTCATCCGCCGATCGCGTCTCCACCCTGTAGACGAGCACAGTTTCCGGTTTTTCCGGTCTGTCCCACTGCAACGATATCCGGTTGTTGGTCCGGTCGGTCACCGTAGGTTCGCTGCGCACGGGGCCCGGAACCTCTGGAAAACGGACGAAAACCGCATGAAAACATTAATGTCATATTCTACAGGACGAGTTCGGGGGGGGGGGGGGGGGACCGCTGCCTATATTATGCTCGCGTGAAACGTCGTATTCGACGAGTCCAGCTGGCGTATTATAATACAATATTATAATGCGGCAACAAAGGTATTATTATTGTTATTGTCTTTATGTATCGTATTGATAGGTATAATAATATAACGTGTACTTTGGTGTTCGCACAAGTACAACAGGAAGTCCGCGGTAGTGCGGGTCGTCGTGTCGCGTCTCCGCGTCCATCGGTCCCGCAAGAGTTGTATGTTGCTCTCGGTACCGATATCGGAGTGCACCATTTCCTTCCGGTCGCTTCAGCTGTTTGGATAGCGTCACGCGTTATCGGCGGGTATATACCTGTATGATAATGGTATTGCCGCAGGTATACGGACACCGCTCTAAACAACCACCGTCGATTATTTTAAGGGAGATTTGCGTGTGCGTGCGCTAGTTTATTTCGTCAGAGGAAACGGAACTCGCGAGTGGAAATGCGCGCGTAACCCGTTGACACCGTACACTGCGGATGTTAAAAATAGCGGCGGACCGCGGCGTCGTGGTCCTCGATAAACGACCGAAATAAACGCTGCTCGCCATCGTGGCCGTTGTCGCCCGTCGTCATATTTTCCCGTTTTACCACCACGAACATATTATTATTATTTTCTCAGATCTGTTACGTCTGCTGTGTGTGTGTGTATATATTATTATAATAATAATAATGCTCACCGTTGTTTGCGCAGCCCCCTCGTCCTCCTCCTCTACCGCCGCCGACCGTCGGCCCAAACCACCGGCCGATCGTATTTCTGATTTGCGGCGGTGTCAACGATCTCGCACGTTTCCTCATCTATATGCAATATAAACAATATAATAGAATTGATATTATAGTGAACGTAATTTTTCTTCAAAATATCATAATAATATAATAGTATTCACGGGGGTTGTCTAGCAGTTATTGAAATTTCCGTTCCCGTTTAGCGATTGTTTCGCGAGTGGTTGAGATATCATTATTCATTATATACAAAAATGTATGGGTACTATAGATGTTTACTATTGTACGTACATCTATAATAGTACGTCCTGTATATTGTGTAGATCAGCTATTCGGTGAAATGATTGAAACCGAAAAAACCTTTTATCGATATTCAACAGGCGATTACATTTCAACTAAGTTGTACAAAAAAATTATACCTAAGTACCTAAGTGCACCTACCTATAAACACATTAATACCACCCACTATATATGTACATAACTAGGTATATCTAACTAAACATTTCAAATTATCACCGTTTTATTGAAAAAAAAAAAAAACACGTTGGACTTGGGTAAATGTAATGTCAGTCATTCCGGTGCCGCCCCCTCCTATATTTGAGTATTCATATAAAGTGATAAATTGTGTTTGGTATGTTTATGAAAGTTCTAATAATAATGTTTAACAATAATATGTAGGATATAAGTACAAAACATAAATATAAATTGTGGATCCCCCTCTCGAGAAATTTCTAGTTGCACAACTGCACGGCTATAATTTAATATTTAATAAATTATTACAATAATCAGCAACTATCGTACATAGCCATATAGGTAATAGGATACTAAAAGTGTATCGATTACAGACAAAATTGAAAAAATCTACTCGATTTGTAAGCCATCTTGTTATTATTTCGACAGTACGTAGGAAACATATTAAGTAATTAAAAAAAAAAAAAAAGAAGATTTAAATTAATGTAACATATTTTTACGATGATCTAATTATAGATAATAATATAATACATGTAGAATGCAAAGTTACAACTTTTAAAGTAGGTACAAGAAATCAGAATTCTTCAATTGTTTGAATTTTGATTTTCATAAAAAGTAATCATGTAATAATTAAGGTAGGTATTTCAATTTAGCAATCGTCATATTTTAAAACACTCGTCCTGCGATTTTCTTTATTGGCCATTAGTACTTGACAATACATCAGTACAGGTACATACAATTTCGTCCACTAACGGCATTTGCTATTAACGTTTTACATAGGTAATGCTGTTAACTAAATTAAAATATTTGGTCAAAGTGAATTAACATCAAAGAAAATAATCGAGACCCTGATAAATAGAGCCCATCAAAATACGATCCTGTAAAAGGATATTATACTTTAAAAATGTAATATTTATTATCACAATAATAGTTTGAAAAACTGTACTATAGGCTAGGGTTAATTAAGTTTGATGTTCGGCATAATTAAAAAGAAAATTTGATCAACATTTGAATTTTGTTGTACGTATTTATTAGGATGTCATATAATATTCTTGTAGGTTGTTTGAGTATTATACGTACTTTGGACTTTGGAGTATTATACGAGTTTGTGGTGTGGCGTCTTAACAATTTTACCTTAAACTTAAATATAATAAGTGGTATGTGGTTATTATTATTGTTGTAATAGTATTTAATAATATACAAATTGTTAATTTTATCATTTTGGCTTTGGAATTCGTCAATATAGTGTCCTATATTAAGTCGATTCTATTCCGTTCAGAGATGTATACAGATTTTTAATTAAAAACTACTCATTTTTCTAGTTCGTTTCTGTTCAGTAATTTCGATTTCGTTCTGATTTATATTAGTGTGCAACTTCACCCCATCATCGGGTTTTTAGCGCTGCTATAAAAATTTAATTAGATACCTACTAGATTTGGTTCTTTTTTTCATCAGTGTTAAAAATTATACCCTATTGAATCTTGATTATATACCTATACTACGATTATTATGCATACAATTTACACTTAAATCGAATCGACCACACACAAAAACAACTAACATGTCGAATCAAATATAAAACTAAATTTATTGTAAATAAGTGTACACGATTATTACTGGAATCTTATTGCTATCGTTGATACATTTGATATTATTTAGATATTATCCAGCATGTTATTCAAAAATACGTACGAGTTAGGTGATCTATGATCAAATTAAATAACTATAACGCTTAAAAATTAACCAGAATAATTTTAAAAATTATTATTTACTATCTTGCACAGTGCTCTTCGTGCACACAAATAATTATTATCTGTTCCACAAAATTACGGGTACCTATATATATGATATAATTCTATAAATTTGTAATCAAAACATTGTATGGAGCTTGGATTAAACTCTTTGATAGTGTGTTCACGTTGTTTATTTTTATTCGTCCAGTTTAGTATTCTCGCCCCATCGTAGTAAATTGCCTATATTTTGATAAAATGTACATATCTTGTATGTTTAACCATTTAAGGAAAGAATAATATTCGACATTATTATTCGTTAAATCGTCATGCTTAACTATATAAAATTCAAACCATAATTTCTGAAAATCTGATTCACGTAGATTTATTTTAATATGTACATATCGATGCAATTTCAACTTGATTTATTGTTTATACCTGTGCGTCAATAATATCGGAGGTAGGGAAAACATTAAGTTTGCTAGTTAGCTACCTTATTCAACGATATTACATCACATATTATACTAGAAACGATACAAAAAATAAAAAAACTATTGTGTAACCGATGTAGGTATATCGATTACAATAATTATTAATAATTTCTGTACTTACTCTAACAGTATAAAATCATTTTTAGTCAAAATCTTAAAATTATTATTGTTGTTATTATTATTGAAAAATTGTAAAAAAAAGCGTAGGTAGTTTATTATAGGTACTTCATATATTATATTATTATTGTTATTGTTTAATTTTATTGCGTAGAAAATATTAGGTACATTTTAGGTTTGTTGGCTTAAAAATAGTTATAATTATTATATTGTTAATTCTTCTTCCTTCTATATAGTTATGTATTATAATAAATTGAACAGACTTAATGCCAAAAAAAAAGTAAAAGATTCCTAAAGATGTTTAACTAAAATCTGTTACATGCATTATTATTATAATGTTAAAATATATGTAAAATCAAATAATACTTATGGCTCAAAATCGTCTAAAACTCACAATAATTTTTATTTAACACGATCAAGCTACTTCGAGAGTACACTCTTTAGATGTGACCACTGTTATCAACAACAAAAATTCCGTTTCCCAGAGTCAGAGTGTATTAATTTAGATTTTAAATAGGTACCTGTGAGGTACTTATGACCGTTAAAATTGGCAAACAATATTGAGTTTTTTTTTCTTAAAATTTGTTCAAATAACAGGTCTGAGGTTTTTAAATGTACAGTAGGTAATTTGAAATAGTATCATCATAGCGTGTAATAGTAGATATTATTATAGGTTTAATTGCAATCAATATTATATTTTTTATGTAAATTAAATGTATTTCATATTATAATGATTAGGTACACTATTATAAGCCTGTAAGTATAAAGGAGCTCAATGTAATGTAGTAAACTCAATAAAGTTTATTATTATGAATAAAATATATTTCTCGATAACACATACACATCGAGTCTTGTAGTAACGAACAATAATCATATACGACCGCTTAGATTGTCCGCGATAAATCAAATAAAATTCATAATTACAATCACGCTGTCAACAGATTTTAATGGCTAAAACGATAATAAAATGAATAATTTACAAGTTACTAAAAACATGTTCCCTTATAAGCGTGAAACTCAAATGTATATTATAGTAATGACTATATAGGTATATAGTTGTTGTCATTATTGCGGACATAATATTATTAACATAAAATTAACAATAATGATTAGGTATTATTTTTTTCGTAGTAAAAAAAATAATAATAATATAATAAATTTATAAAAGCATACAATACGCTTCGTATGATTATTGCATTTTTAATTAATAATATAGCAACGCTGTATACGCGGTCACATCCAAGAGTTGACTCGCAATATTATTCTATGTAGGTACCTACAACCAGCGCCATATTGTGATACGATGAACTGTACTTTGGCCATTATGATCAAACGATTTCTGAAAGACTCGATTTCGTAATGTCCCTGTGCCGAAAATGAACCGTCGCTTTCCAATGGGAACCTGTTGTTCGGGAAAATTCGGTAGGCAGAGCTTTCGGGACGAGGAAAGGAAATCGTGGCGTATCTCTTAGCTGATCGGCGATCGAGCTCCAAGCACATCATTGATATTGTATTAATAATTAATATAAATTATAATGTACAATGTCTGTAAAACCATTTCGATACACATACGTACAAATATTATATTGTATTATATTATATATATATGGACGGTCTCTGTGAGAAAGTGCCAAGTCAGTTTTAAAAAATTAAATATCATACTTTTGTTTTGAAAATAATTTTGCTCCGGATTGACTGGTGGCACTGATATTTGGCTATTTCGATAGATAATGTTATTGAGAATGAAATGGCGCCAAATATCAGTGCCATCAGTCAATTCGGCGTAAAATTATTTTCAAAACAAAAGTATAATATTTAATTTTTAAGGGTGCGTTAGGATTGCGTATGATACGATTCCGTATGGACCTTTTTCATTATTACGATTGCGTACATTCTACCTACCAATACTTAGGCCAACGTTGCCGTTGTTCAAAATCTTGAAAATTTGTAATATAACTTATTTTAGTAAATGTGGAAATTTATTAAAGAACTATATTTTCAACACACATCTCAAACACTAAATTTATGCAAATTACACATCGACTTTGAAATAGGAGCGCACAAAGCTGTGAGGGAAGTTTTTCCGAATGTACAACTTATTGGATGTCGTTTCCAAGTCAATCTTGGTGGCGTTATGTAAGTATTTAATAAATAACCAACTCACATCGGTTAAATAAAATACTTTCATAGTAACAATTTTTATATAGATAAATGCAAATAAAAAATTGAAGACAGCATACTCGGATGATAAGAGTTTATTAGGAAAATGGTTAAAACAGTTTTTTGGTCTACCATTTCTGCCTTATCAAATAGTAGAAGACGGTTTTGTTAAATTAGTAGGTGATTGTCCGGATGAAGATGGGCTAGAATTTTCAGACTATGTATTAAATAATTAATAATTATATACAAACAAATTTTATATTTCCAACTAATATATGGGCTGAAGAACCTTCAATAAATAAAAGGTATCATATTTTTATAAATTATAAGAACAATTTGTAAGTATTCTTGTACGGTATAACTTTAAAGTTTATGTTCTATACATAAAAATAAAGTGTCATAAAATATTTAGATTATTATGAATTCCGTAATTTTTACGTATTTTAATGTCAGAACAACAAATGGTCCAGAGAGTTTCCACAGAACTTTTAACGCTCAATTCTATAACTCACATCCACCAATATACTTTGTGCTTGAGGCATTGAAAGAAATGCAGGCTGAAACCAATATAAAAATATCCACTATACAAAAGAATATATCCAAAGCTATTCCATCTAAAGATATACAAAAAATTAACCATGTTATAAAACTATACGACAAATTTAAAATAGATGGTAATCTATTAAATTTTTTATCAGGGATTGGTTATCGATACCAAGGTTTTAATTTATAATTTATAATTTGTATTTTGTATAATTTAAGTTTTTAGTTGACTATAAAAGTGGTTTTTTTATGAGGAACTGGTTATCGATACCAACGTTTTAATTTATAGCTTATGTGTATTATTTTTGTATTTTATACACCCAAATATTTTATATTGTTTTTAATTGACTATAATATTATAATAATGATTTTTTTAAATTATATTATTATTATTTTTAATTTAATATAATTTAATAGTACATGTTGGCAACGTTGCACTCATTTTAGTACGCAATCGTAATGTCTTTAAGGCCTAGGTAGAGAAATCGTACGCAATCGTAAAAGCGTACGCAATCGTTTTACTAAAAGGGACAGTAATCGAATATCACCGATTTTTAAAACCTGACTTGTACCCTTTTTTACATACATTTATATATATTATAATGTAATATAACATTAAGTCGATATCAAATGGAATGTTTACTGTGTTTTTGGTTAATTTTTATTAGTGAAAAAAAAAAAACTCCGCTTTGGTTGGCTATATTGCAACTGGTGTATATTATAATAATAATATGTTACAATATTATAATTATTCGAACGGCAGGCTACAACAATATTCATATTATATTAAACTCGTATATTATATCGAACGGACCGAAAGGTAGAGCGATAGTGATATATGATATCGATAAAAAACAACATAATATTATTATTATTATTTAATAACAATATAACATATCACGATACACATCCCTACCGGGAGGTTTTCGGCGAGACCCAGCTGCTGATACGATCACTTACCCCGACGGTGACAAACGCCCTATCAGATCCGTACACGTTTTTAGCGATAATAAAATACGTCCCGGCGTCCGACGGTTGAGCCTTTTTGATCGACAGCATCACGTAGTCGTTGACCGTCTCCTTTAGCGATCGGTCGAGGAATGTCACGTCCCTCGAACCTCTCATCCATATGACTAGAACGAAACCGCGTTTATTACGATTACATAATATTGTTACGAAACTTAACAGTCGATAAGATAATATTATATACATATAAATATATTATTATTATCGATTGTTGATTAGTATAAAGTTTATATTACCTACACAAACTATAATGTTAAATTATTACTTGTATCATACGAGTATAATGTTGGATAGGTATAGGTACTAAGAATGAGGTCGTGGGAAATTACGAAAGAGTGCAGAAAAAATTATAATTTTAAAGATAATATTTTTCATAAAGAATTGATTCCTATACCTATTTAATATTTATGTTATTGTCTAATAATATATTCAACAGTATATTTCATTAAATTAATAATTAAACTATATGATACACTGATACGCATGTATTAAATATTAAAGCAGTTTGTATATTATATTATTATTATTGCTATTATTTATGTAGATAAATTAATATTTTTATCTGACTGCAGTGGAAAATATCTTGTTTCTAAGCTACACAACACTACATCTATATAATAATTAATAAGTAATAAAATCATATCGAAATGGGTGCTCGCTTCGAGCCAACGCCATTATTATATAAGTGTACCTTTGGGTTTCGGTTCACCAGCCACCCGGAGTGTGACGGTAATGTCCTCGCCGACGGCCACATTCAGCCGGTCGTTAGGTCTTGACACGATAATGGCAGGTTTCACGCCCCTGCGGTCTGTGTAGTCCTGCGGTGACACCACCCTAACTGCCTTTTCCGTGTCCGCCACCCCGTAAAGGTTGCACGCGCGGCACACGTACTTTCCGCCATCACTGGCCGTGCTGTCCATCACCAGCAGCGTGTACAGCCCACCCTCATCCAGGTAAATGTACTTGCCCGATAACCGCGGTAATGGTTTAGATTCGCGCATCCACGTAACATTAGGCACCGGGGAACCTGAAATGCGAATCGTTTACACCTCTTAGGTATAATATTTCGTCAGACGCTATCTCCACTGTCAGGTTTTAATTTTTATGTTAAATATTGTATGAGAGAGATTAAATGTACAGAGCAGAAACTATGATAAAAAACAATAAGAAAAAGAAATTTAATCAAAGTAAATAGTATAAAGTCCACTAAGCGAGCTTCAAACGCACATAGAGCACAATGATTTTTTGTATAATATTGTAGGCAGTGGGATTAGAAAATCAAATGGCTTAACAAAACATAATATCTATTATGATTAACTATATTCCATTTCAAAGAGGTGTCGTGTATTTATTCTATTTAATGAAGCGATAAATACTGACCTTGCACCCGGACCTGGAGGGCGATCGTACCACCATAAGTAGCCACGTCGTCAGCGATTATGCTGGACACGAACTTTGGATACTCAGGGCGCCTGGTGGCCAAGTCTCCGCCAAACTTCTGGCAACCGAAATCGAACTTGTCATTTGCAGATAACCGGAAATCGTGGCTGGTCCGAGAGTAAAGCCCGCGGCTGGACTCGATACCGTCGACAGACAGCGATGGTTGTAGCAGAGGTTTCCTGAAAACCGACGGTGATGTGTACACCGTCAGGAATCCGGTGGTGGATATTCGGTCACGGCCGTTAGTGGCCACGCACGTGTACTCGCCGGAATCGCCACTCTGGGCGTTGTCGACGATCAGTTGCGCCAAACCCCCGTCGTATTTTGTCTGATACCTGTAATACGAGGAACGTCCACGAAATGTGATGTTATTATTGTTATTGTTTTTATTATTGTTGTTGTTGTTTTCTATAGGTGTCTAAAAAACTTTGCCAAAATAAAAATGTAAAAATGAATTTTAAACTAAAATATTATGAGCAGGATACAATATATTTTAATACTGAAATTATGATCTAGAATTATTATTATTAGTTATTTGATATCAAAAATATTGTCATAATTTGTGTCTATGCAGTACTTTAAAGTATAACCGTATTAAGCAAAAAATCTGTATGATTGATAAAATAATTTTAATGTGTTAAGATTAAGAAAACTTTTAGGAATACAATTTTAAATTTTAAATTTTATTTATCCAACCATGTTTTTTGCGATGCCACAACAATGTGGTATGGTTATGGTGGAACGGTATGGTGTGTACTCACCTCGCGGAAGAATTGTACGTGAAACTGTTGAGTTTCTGACCATCACGATACCACTGAACACGTGGTTCTGGATGGCCGATGACACTGCACCAGAACTTAACCCTAGCGCCGGATGACACAGTTTGATCTATCATCCGAACGCAGAAGTACAGACCTTTGAACGCTTCCTACAGCGGACACAAGAAAAAATGAAAATACATTTATAAATGAAATCATCATAAACTGTAATAATTGTGTTGTTGTTACTTTTGTCCGGTAAAGGTCTTCGGTAGCACTGCTTCGGTGTGTTGCTGCTCGGCCGTCAGACAATCTCCAACTCGAATAGTAACCTCCGTCCCGTACTCCTGAATCGTGCAGGAAACTGTCAGAGCCTCTGCGTCTCCGAGTGGTCACACCATAGCTCGTGTGCGGCCAACCGGAAGTCGCCTCTACTTCCATACGCCTTGGACTGAGAGGAATTGATGTCTCCGAAAGGCACCGGTACGCCACCAAGTTGGAAGGCGGCCAAAGACTTCGGGCCGAAATCCTCGAGTCTGGTGGATAAGGACTCGTAGATCGACTGCTGCTTCTGCTGCTGGGGCTACTGCTGCTGCCACCGTATAGATCTCTGTCTGACGAACCCCCATATCTTGTCGATGTCGTGTACTTAGACCTCGGTGTTAGGCTTGATCTGTAGGACGGACACTCCGGCGTCAGAGATCTGTATGAGCTCATATGGTCAGGCGTCAAGGATCTGTACGAAGTCAGTGGGTCCGGTGTCAGGGATCTGTACGCCAGGCTATTTGGGCGTGACTTGTGTGCTTCAGTCACGTCCAGTAGATAACGATTAACTGGACGTTTATCAGAGCTCCGGATTTCCGGTACGTCGACAACGTCATATTCAGTCATCCCACTCAATGTTCGTACCTTTTTGTTATTTGAAAGAAAATGTGTGGTATTATCTTTTAGTTTCATATCAACATTTTCGTTAACTATTGTGTTCGTTCTTACAGATTTTTCCAGTAATGGTGATTTAGTACTCATTCCTTGTTTTACACTTTCTCGTTCTTTTTTATTATTATCCGTCACACTTTTGTCTGTATTGCTTAATAAATGTGTATCAATTATATTCTTTTTGCTCTTTCCCATAGTGTCGATATTATTATTCTCTAAAGATCTTATTGAGCGCCCTTTTTCCATCATTTCCAATGCTAAGTTACTGTTAGGTAACTTTTCTCTTAAATCTAAAATTGTGTTTCCATTTTTTTCAATTTCATTATTAATATCAAGTTTTTCATTGGGTTTTTTATTTATTTTATCGGGTGAAGTTGATATTTTACACTCTGGTTGTGGGATTGATTTATCTTCCTCACGTTCTTGTTCTGTCTTATCTTCTTCTGTTGATTTTATTTTATCGGCAGTACCGATTTTTTCAATATTTTGATTTTTAGATTGAGTATTATTCGAAAAGTCTTTTTCAATTATTTCCATCATACTTGTATTATTAATAGAAGCCCTTTCCGGTCCTATCTTAGTTCCGTCTTCTGCATAGTTTTTATTATTATCTGATATTTTTCTTTTGTTGTCTTCGAAAGTTACATCGATAATATTTGTGTCAATTTTATTTTCACCGGCACTAATAATACTATTTGTGGTGTCAGATGATGATGATTTTTTATCGTCTGGCTGGGGGCTTGATTTCTTTTTCTTACTTAAACGTTTTGTCTTATCTTTTTCTACAATATTTTCTGTAGATTTTATTTTATTTTCGGTACCAATTTGATTGCTTTTCTGATTTTCATTTTGATCGACATTTGAAACGTCTTTTTCAATTATTTCTTCTAGAACTTTATTATTGTCTGTAACAATTTCTGGTAGGATTTTGTCCAATTTAACGCCAACACTTTCAGAATCTTCATTGTTATCTGACAATTTTTCATTAATTTCTTCATTACTTTTATCCATAACTTTTGTTGTGTCAATATTTAATTCATTAACACTAATATTACTTTTAACAGTATCCGGTAAAGGTGATTTCTTACCGTCTGGTTGAGGGCTTGATTTCTTTTTTTTACTTCCACGTTTTGTCTTGTCTTTCTCTGCAACATTTTCTGTGACAATTTCATAGTCCTTTTGATTTGTATCAACATTTGAAACGTCTTTTTCAATTATTTCTTCTAGAACTTTATTATTGTCTGGAACAATTTCTGGGAGGATTTTATCCAATTTAACGCCAACACTTTCAGAATCTTTATTGTTATCTGACAATTTTTCTTTAATTTCTTCATTACTTTTATCCATAACTTTTGTTGTGTCAATGTTTAATTCATCAACACTAATATTACTTTTAATGGTATCCGGTGAAGGTGATTTTTTATTGTCTGGCTGAGGGCTTGATTTCTTTTTTTTACTTCCACGTTTTGACTTGTCTTTTTCTACAACATTTTCTGTAGATTTTATTTGATTTTCGGTACCAATTTGATTGCTTTTCTGATTTTCATTTTGATCGACATTTGAAACGTCTTTTTCAATTATTTCTTCTAGAACTTTATTATTGTCTGTAACAATTTCTGGTAGGATTTTGTCCAATTTAACGCCAACACTTTCAGAATCTTCATTGTTATCTGACAATTTTTCATTAGCTTTATCGATAACTTTTGTTGTGTCAATATTTAATTCATTAACACTAATATTACTTTTAACAGTATCCGGTGATGGTGATTTTTTATCGTCTGGCTGAGGGCTTGATTTCTTTTTCTTACTTCCACGTTTTGTCTTGTCTTTTTCTACTACATTTTCTGTAGATTTTATTTTATTTTCGGTACCAATTTGATTGCTTTTCTGATTTTCATTTTGATCGACATTTGAAAAATCTTTTTCAATTGTATCTTCTGGAACTTTATTATTGTCCGGAACAATTTCTGGTTGTATTTTATCCAATTTAACGCCAACACTTTCAGAATCTTCATTGTTATCTGACAATTTTTCATTAATTTCTTCATTATTTTTATCCATAACTTTTGTTGTGTCAATGTTTAATTCATTAACACTAATATTACTTTTAATAGTATCCGGTAAAGGTGATTTCTTATCGTCTGGCTGAGGGCTTGATTTCTTTTTTTTACTTCCACGTTTTGTCTTGTCTTTCTCTACAACATTTTCTGTGACAATTTCATTGTCCTTTTGATTTTTATCAACATTTGAAACGTCTTTTTCAATTATTTCTTCTGGAACTTTATTATTGTCTGGAACAATTTCTGGTAGTATTTTATCCAATTTAACGACAACACTTTCAGAATCTTCATTGTTATCTGACAATTTTTCATTAATTTCTTCATTACTTTTATCCATAACTTTTGTTGTGTCAATGTTTAATTCATCAACACTAATATTACTTTTAATGATATCCGGTGAAAGTGATTTCTTACCGTCTGGTTGAGGGCTTGATTTCTTTTTTTTACTTCCACGTTTTGTCTTGTCTTTCTCTGCAACATTTTCTGTGACAATTTCATTGTCCTTTTGATTTGTATCAACATTTGAAACGTCTTTTTCAATTATTTCTTCTGGAACTTTATTATTGTCTGGAACAATTTCTGGTAGTATTTTATCCAATTTAACGCCAACACTTTCAGAATCTTTATTGTTATCTGAAAATTTTTCATTAATTTCTTCATTACTTTTATCCATAACGTTTGTTGTGTCAATGTTTAATTCATCAACACTAATATTACTTTTAATGGTATCCGGTGAAGGTGATTTTTTATCGTCTGGCTGAGGGCTTGATTTCTTTTTCTTACTTCCACGTTTTGTCTTGTCTTTTTCTACAACATTTTCTGTAGATTTTATTTTATTTTCGGTACCAATTTGATTGCTTTTCTGATTTTCATTTTGATCGACATTTGAAACGTCTTTTTCAATTATTTCTTCTAGAACTTTATTATTGTCTGTAACAATTTCTGGTAGGATTTTGTCCAATTTAACGCCAACACTTTCAAAATCTTCATTGTTATCTGACAATTTTTCATTAATTTCTTCATTACTTTTATCCATAACTTTTGTTGTGTCAATATTTAATTCATTAACACTAATATTACTTTTAACAGTATCCGGTAAAGGTGATTTCTTACCGTCTGGTTGAGGGCTTGATTTCTTTTTTTTACTTCCACGTCTTGTCTTGTCTTTCTCTGCAACATTTTCTGTGACAATTTCATTGTCCTTTTGATTTGTATCAACATTTGAAACGTCTTTTTCAATTATTTCTTCTGGAACTTTATTATTGTCTGGAACAATTTCTGGTAGTATTTTATCCAATTTAACGCCAACACTTTCAGAATCTTTATTGTTATCTGACAATTTTTCATTAATTTCTTCATTACTTTTATCCATAACTTTTGTTCTGTCAATGTTTAATTCATCAACACTAATATTATTTTTAATGGTATCCGGTGAAGGTGATTTTTTATCGTCTGGCTGAGGGCTTGATTTCTTTTTCTTACTTCCACGTTTTGTCTTGTCTTTTTCTACAACATTTTCTGTAGATTTTATTTGATTTTTGGTACCAATTTGATTGCTTTTCTGATTTTCATTTTGATCGACATTTGAAACGTCTTTTTCAATTATTTCTTCTAGAACTTTATTATTGTCTGTAACAATTTCTGGTAGTATTTTATCCAATTTAACGGCAACACTTTCAGAATCTTCATTGTTATCTGACAATTTTTCATTAAGATCTACGTTGTTATCTGACGATTTTTTCTTAATTTCTTCAATACTTTTATCGATAACCTTGGTTTCGTCAATGTTGATTTCACTAACAATAATATTACTTTTAGTTGTCTCGGGTGAAGGTGATTTTTTGTCATCTGGCTGAGGGTTTGATTTCTTTTTCCTACTTCCTTGTTTTGTTTTGTCTTTTTCTGCAATATTTTCTGTCGATTTTATTTGATGATTGTTTGTACTGTTTTCAACTATTACTTCTTGATTTTTATCATTGTCTGAAGCAATTTCTGTATTTAAGTTATTCAATTGAACTCCTACTTTTCCAGTGTTAATATTGTCATATGTTAGCTCTTTATTAGATATGTCTGTAATTTCATTAATGATTTTGTTTGTGTCAATTTTATTTTCACTTACACTAATAATATTTGTCGTTGATTCTTTTGATTTATTACTCAATTTCTGATTTATATCCACAATATCTTCTGTGTCAATAGTCTTTTCATCATTTGTTGTCTTGATCTTTGTAATCAAACAATTTTCTTTGTCTTTATCTATGGTGTCATTTTCTTCTACAGACATCATTGACGGTTCAAATATTTGATTTTGATTTTGTATTGATTGTTTTAGTTTATCAACTAATTCGCTCTGCTTCTTATTTAAACCTACATTTTCTGGATTATGAGTATCGTCGTTCAATATTTCTGTTGTTTCATTCAACGATGTGATTTCAGTTTCTACATTTTCTTTGAACAAATTATCTGTATTTTGAATTTGATCATTTAATATATTAACCTCCATGTCTTCTGGATTATAGTTTTCACTTAAAAGGTTCGTCGATCTTGTTGAAATTGTAGACGCTTCATCAGTGTCTAAATACACAATCTGTTCCTCTTTTATCGTCATATCTTTAATAGGCCCATCCAAAATATTGACATTGGTCGACACGATTTCAAACGAATGGTCGTCCAAAGTTAGAGCCATGGTTGCTTTTTCTATACTTTTTTTTTCTTCATCTGCAGTTAAAGAATTTTCTTTTACAGTATCGTAATCTATAATTATGTTTCCAATTGCAGCGATGTTTAATTCGTGTTCCACTTCTGCATGTTGGTTGATATTTTCCGCAGCATTCAGTTCATCTTGTTTTAAGATATTTATATTTTCTAACATCACGTATTCAGTTTCATTAGCTGCAATTTTTTCTACACAATGTAACTTTGGAATTATAGATAGAATACTGAATGGTTCTTCAGTAGACAAACCACTGATTTCACTTTCAAACATAAAATCATTTTGAAGACTGGCTTCATTTTCAAGAGCAGTAACAACATTAATCTCATCATTAATTTTCACTTTGTTTATCAATTTATCTTCATAAATATTTATAGTTTCAGGTGTTATATTGGAGAGTTCATTTTCTTTATTTTCGTTTATAGTATTTTCCTCTTTGTTTTCTCGAACTTCACTTACAGGTAAAGTACTTTCACAACTATGATTATTATCAGAACTATCTTTTGTTATTACGTTTGCTCTTTCCTTGCTGACGTCATTAACCAGAACTTTATCATTTTCCAATGATTTAGATACATTGATTAAAATTAGACTTTTCTCTTCATCTATATTATTTTCAATTCTGTTTTGTTCGCCTGTTTTGTATGTTTTTAAATTATCTTCATTTCTATTTAATTTCTCTTCGTTGCTTACAGTATTTGTTTTCAGAGATTCATCGTCTGAAAGTGTTTCTAAAGTTTCAAAGTTCCCTAAGACCTTTGATTCACATTCAGTAAATTTCTTATGTTGATTAGCGTCATTTTCATTTAAGATTCCAATACATGTATTTGGGTGACAAGTAATTTCATTACAATCTTCTGTGTTTTCTTTGACAAAAATTGAACATTTATGTTTAGCTAAGTCGGTTTTGGTATCATATAAATCTACAATTTGGTCATTATCAAGTTGTAAATAGTTTATTTCCGAAGCAAGTATTTTTAAATTATCTAATTTTTCAATGTTGGTTTTTGACATTTTTTCCACATCATCTCTCTGCTGGTTATTGTTCTCTACGGTATCGATTACATCTTCTATAACCACTTGTTCTTTGATATTTTTAAAATCAATAACAACTGTATCTAATGGTTGAGCGTTGGATACAGAAATCGTTTTATTACCTATCAAAGCAGTGATTTGTTCAACCACGATATTTGTCGACTCATTAATCGATTTAGTTTCATCATTTTGTATATATTGAGTTTCACTAGGTGATGTTTCTTCATCCTTATTGATCATCCCATCTTGTAAGTATATAATTTCGTTTTTAGCTTCTAAATGTTCTAAATTATTTATAATGTTCTCTTTATCATCTGAATCTGCATTTTCTTTAAATTGTATTTTAACTTGATTTTCGTCAAATTTACATGAATCAATAATAGATTGTGTGCTCTCCAATGTAATTATTTCACTATTTATTAATGTATTTTCCGATAGAGTTGTGTCATTATTTTCGAAAATTGCAGATTGTGTTAAATTTTCGTACGATTTATTTATTGTATTGATGGACTTTTCTTTATCATTCATTATTATTTCTGTTGTTTTGTTTTCAGAATTAATTTTCTCATCAGAGACTGTTTCTTTTTCATTTAAAGTCGAATCAACTGAACTTTTAAAATTGTTAATTACATCATTTTTAGATTTAACTGCTATTATCTCTGTTGGTAAATCTATTTTTGAACTAATACATTCTATTTCATTATTCAATTTCATATCTGATAAGGTTTCACATTGCTCATTTAATTCGTTGACATATTTTACTTTATTATTAGATTGTTGTAAAATGTTATTTTCTTGAACAAAAAGAGAATTTTGTTGAACATTATCTAAAGGTTCTTCATTAATTAATTCACTTTCATTTCTATCATTTTTTATAAGAACATCTTCTTCATTTTGAAGAACATTTAGTTCTGTTATCGGGTGCACCACATTTTCACAATTAGTACAATTAGGAACAATTTGTTTATTATCAGTTAATAAAGTTTGATTTACGTTTGGTTGTAAATCATATTGTAATTGTTTAACCAAATTGACATCTTGGTTATTTTCAAATGTATCAGAAGTATTATTTTTATTTTTTAACAAACTCAAATTGTCGTCTCCACAATATTGTTCTTCAATGATGCCCTTGCTAATATTATTTTCCGAGACTGTTATTAAATTAACATCAACTACAGAAGACTTTGGTTCGTTTGCAGGTATTACACTTTCTTCAACAGCGCAAATACTTTTATTTAATAAATCATTATCATCACTTTGTTTTATTTTGTTGGATATTTCTTCAATAATTGAAGAATTATAATCTTCGATCACTAAATTAATTTCTGGTGTTATAACATTTTTTTCTTCTACTAATGTTCCTAACTCTTTATTTAATTCTGTTGCATTAGTGCATTTATCTATTAAAATATTTTCTTCATCTTTTTCCGTGTTGTATTCATTTCCATTTCTAGTTTGTGCTACTTGAATGACTGCATCTGTTTCTAAATCATGAATAGCATCAATTTTATTTACGACAGCGTCATCTTGTGGAGATGACTTGGGTGAAACTTTTTCTGTGAATGATGGTATTTCAACTTCTTTTATCAACATTGTATTATCTTCATTTTCTGCATCATTATAATTATTTATAGTATTAATTTTCTCGGTTTCATTAAACTTATTTGCATCAATCATAATATCTTCACTTGAAAGAATTGTTATATTTTTAATAGACTCATTAGAATTTAATTTGTTTAATAGAACTGAATCCAAAGTTTCATTTTTTAAATCGGATGAAGTAATTATATCTGCATCATTGTCATTTATTTTTGACACCACATTAGGTAAAGATGTAATTAAACATTCATTTTTATTCGGCACATCTACAGAGATAATTAAAGGTTCATTTTTATCAGGCACATTATCTACTGTTTGGGAAATATTTTCAGTTTTAGATTCAAGTAGATCAACAACAGTTTCTAAATTGTTGCTAATATCAATTCTTTTCATTTTAACTTCGCTTGAATCAGACATTTCATTGACTGTAATTACCGTGTTATTAGATATGGATTTATCAGAGTCTAAACATTCTAAATTCTCAACAAAATCTACATCCTGTCCTATTTCAAACACTTGCTCTTCTTTGAAAGCATTTTCATCACTAATACTAATATATTTATTTTTAAACGTTTCGTTTTCAATGTTTTGATCTACATTTATTAAACCGTCCAATAAGTTATTACTTTCATCACAAATTTGATTAGTATAGGTCGAATCAATGTTTTGTAAATCATTGATGTTTGATGTATTATTATCCAAGTCGTATATTTCTGTTGTTCCATCTCGTGTTACTTCAGACATATTTTTTAATGTTTCTTGAAGTTCCTCGAATAAATCGACTGGTGATTTTAAAATTAAGTCCTGTTGGTTACTTTTTTCTAATGATTCTAATACATGTTCTGGTATAATATCATCGGTTTTCTGGTCCATGGTATCAATATCTTTTTCACTCATTAATAAATCTGATAATTGATGATTAACTTTAGAATTCATAATATTATCCAAACATACATCTTCAACAAAATCACTTATCGTTTCCAAATCAGTTTCATCAAACAGTGCTTCAAAACCAGAATTGTCTCGATCATCTTCAGATGTTATGATATTTGGTTCATCGTATTTGAATGTTTCCCCAATATCGCATTCAAAACCTCTTTTTATAACTAAATCATTATTCATGTTATTTTCAAAAAGTATTGAATCTTTTTCTATTTCGGAAGTATCGTTATGTATATTATTTTGCTTATCACAATCTTTATCTAAACTATCAATGATTGATGATTCAATTATTACTTGTTTAAAGTTCTCTTTGGCAGTTTTATCTAAGACGGTTTGTGCATTGTTTGACAAGGATAAACTCAATGATTGTGTATCACAAGCCCCACCTGTAACATCAGTATGTTCTGAAAAACTAAGGTCACTTTCTACTGAAGCCATTTTTGAAACAATAAGATTTTGAAGTTGCAAAAGAGGTTTCATAACGCTACCAAAAAGTATTCCGTTTACACCTAAATCATCAATTGCATCATCGAATAGAATGTTTTGCATCATTTTTATTGATGATTCAAATGGTATTTCCTTGTCTGTCTCTTCTACTATTGATTGATTTACAATACAATTGTTCAGTTGAACGAGTTGCTGAGATAAATGTTCAAAACAACTCATAACTTCATAACTCATGGTTGAACCAGTTTGGTTTGAAAGCAAAACTTGATTAACTTGGAACAACCCGATTTTCATGTCTTGCAATGGTTCCAATAAAGATCCTAAAGGATTCATATTGTTTTCAGAATCTTGAACAAAATTTACATTGTTGATTAATGTGTCAATATCTATCATCAATTCGTCGAAAAGCGTCTCAAAATCTAATAATAGTTTATCGTCAGATCCGTAATCAGAAGACACAATATTTTCCGTTGATCTGCCTAACCGTCTCAGATGACAACATAAATCGTTAATCGGTTTCGTGAAAGATATGAAACATTCAGCTATTTTATTACTTTCCATGCCATGCGAAGCGAGTGTCATAAATTGATTTGTTGATTCATTAATTCTATCGTATATATCTTTTAAATCCTGATCGTCATCTGAACTATCGGTTTTTAATGCTGTATTTAAATTATCTAAAGCAAACGCAATAGAACTAATGGGGGGTATTAATATTTGTTTTAATTTAAAGTTAGGTTTGTTATCGTCCATTGATGCCTCTTCCATAACAGCTATGTCATTTAAAATAGTTTCTAATGGTTGTACCATTGAAAATAAAGGGGCCAATGAATTTATGTCCACGCATTTTATTTTAGAACAATTTTGTTGTAGCGTTTTGATATATACCAAAGTAGTGCCGATTGTGTTTTGTAACACAGCTATAATACGTTGTTCTGTCACTCGGGCTACCTGTCTATTGACAACAATTGTAAAGTTTTTTATTTGGTCTGACAAACGATCTAAAATTTCAGTGGCCGGAAGGTTGTTATTGTTAAGAGTTTCTAAATCAAAACATACGGATGATTGTATTTCGTTTAGTATATTGTCTGAAACACCAAATGGATCATCGATTTGTTCTAATGCTAACAAACTCGCATTTATTGCAGTCATTAAACTTGACACATTATCGGCAGTATTTTTTTCCAACTCTGAAACATCGTTTCTCTCTGTTTCTTCGATGAATTTCCACGCAAGCGAATGTAGTGCTTGGATCGAACGTTCAAGTTCAGTCGTTGTACTAGTGAAATTAAAATTTTCATGAGTGCGCATTTTTACCATTGTACCTTCCAAAATAATTTTCATGTATTTTAAAAATTCGTCCACGTTTGGTCTGGAAATAATTTTCAAAACGTCGTCTTCTTCTGAACTAAGTATCATACTCGCCATTCCCTTACCACGTATTTTGTTCAATACTGTTGAGTATAACCCATCTTCGTCCGATTGAGTAACAATTTCAGATGCACAATAATTATGTGCTAATGGTGGTTCGTTTTCTATTTCAGCCAATGTTTCAGAAACTTCTTCTTCAGTGTTATTGCTCTCAGACCGAGCCAATGGTCCGGATACATGTCTAGAATTCTGAGACAAAAGTCTTTCGTCTAATTTCAATTGCGTTAAAATCTGATCATCGGAGTCTGACATAAATAGTTTTGGTGTCTGGAAAGACTGATGGCCATCGTCTCCCGATTGCTGTTTTGAAATCACTGATGAATGTTTAGGTGTCGTTTCACTAGCACTGTAAAACATCTCACGCTTTGAATTTCCAGACGACAAATGGTCCGAAAAATATTCCAGACTATTTTCACATATGCTTTCACTTTTATCATTTATTGCAAGAGTAATGTCTTCGGTCAGTGAAACGCCATCGAATTCAGTGTCTGATACTGTTTGCTGTCTACAAAAATCGATAGGTACGTCTATAACCAAAGCTTCCATCATAACCGGGCCCGAAATAGACGATTCTTTTACAATTCGCAACGAAGGCAAATCAACAACATTGTCTTCTGTAAAATTAAAGTTTAAAACAAAATAAATTTAATTGGAATAAATATATATCATATAAAACAGTTTTATGACATATTGTTAAATCTTAAAAAACATAGATTTAATAATATAATACCTGATATATGTTCAGAAAGTTCATCCGCGTACATTTCAATGATTTGCAATGCTTCGTCATGCGTTAGGTCTGGAGTTTCATAAAGCGAAACGGTCACTTCTTTCCCGTCAAATGAAAATGATATATCAGCGGGTTCTTCAATGGTGTACGATTTTTCCATTTGGCTTGTTCGCTCTTCAGGAATTGTCGACAAGGATTCATTGCGTACAAGCGGATTCCCGACGGATAAATACTCTTCCGATGAGCAAGATTTGACCGTGGACTTATCTGCAACGGGACAAAAATATAATTAATACTTACGCTTTTCAGTCGTAATAATTATACTTTGCAATGTTTTGGACACGACATTACCTTCCATTGTCAATAGTGTTGCTGAACTGGACACCGTTCCCATACAGTTGTGTGCCTGGCAAGTGTAAGTACCCAAACAGCACGTACCACTTTGTCCCGAAATTATTTTGTGCATGTCACCGGGATTCAGCTCTTGGCCGTCTTTAAACCATTTCAGTTGTGGTTGCGGGACGCCAATTACCTGCGATTACATAAATGTATATTTATACGACGAACGCATTTATTTCGTATTTAGAAATTATGTCTGCGCGTTCACTTACTTTGCACTCTAAGTTGACCGAACCTTCGTTTGAGAACGCTATTCTCAGTTCCTCAAGGAATCTCGGACGTTTGAAATTTTTTGGAATATTTAATTTCAAAAAACTGGACGTTGCAGTTTGACCATACTTGTTGATTGCTACACACTTCCACTCAGCCTGATCCTCAATTTCGAGTGGTACTATGTTTAGAATATATGTCCCATTGTCTTCAGTAGAAAACTGGTATCGATTAGATTCAGTTAGTTGTTCATCTTCTTTATACCAGCTGATTGAAGGTGTAGATTCAGTTGTGACTAAAAAAAAAAACTAAATGTTGATCTAATTTTTTTTTAACTTATATAATTGGAATTTTTAACATTAGAACTTGATTCACCTTTTATCATAAAAACAAACGATTCATTAATGTTAGCCTCAATACTCTTAAGTCCCAATAAAAACCTTGGTGGCTGTGTGTTTGACGTTAATTGAAGTTTTTCACTTTCGTTCAATTGATTTTGGATGTCTTCTATCGTAAGTTCGGCAAGGCTACTTGTTTCGCCCATGCAGTTTCGGGCGACACAACAATAGCTACCTAAATTATATAATTGTATATGATATAATATTATACCCAAATTCCTGTAGCACCATTCGATTTCAATGGCATTTCGTGCCTTACCTAAAGATTTACTCCCGGTCAACTCATAAACGTCTCCGGGTTGAAGTTGCTTGCCGTCTTTAAACCACAAGAGTTGTGGCGTGGGGTATCCGATGACCTTGCATTCAAAGCTAACTAAACCTTCATCGGTCATGATTGCCCTTAAGCTTTCTAAAAATCTTGGTACCCGGTAATTCTTTGGGTCTGAGAAAAAAAAATAGATTCAATAAGGCTACAGTGTTAATGAAATTTGTATGACGTAAAATACAATATTTTAAACAACATTACATGACACCGAAACCACACAGGAAGTAACAGCCTTCGCTCCCGTCGAACTAGTAGCGACACATTTCCAAGTGGTGCTATGATCGGCTCTGAGTGATTTTATTTCTACGCCATACATGCCCAAGCCATCAGCCAACAGGTGGTACAAGGGCCCTTCGTTTACTATGCCATTGTCGTTATACCATCCTATACTTCGGGGCCATGGTGGTACTTCGACTAAGAGAAAAACGGCAATATTATTATAGCTACAAGTGTCAGATCATTGTTGGTTGTCAGGAATAAAAAACGAATAGATGAGAAATGAGATATTCATATAAGAAAAATAGTGTTCCAAATGAAAACTGTTTTCTTACATAAACAAATGTTTGGAAAAAACATAGGTTTATTTAGATGATAATGAGTTATTTTACATAATAGTTTAAAATACTGTAAATAGATAGAATTTTATTGTACCTTGTTTTTTTTTCCTGTAAAATCTAAAGTCCAGCCGTTTTTGCTATCAGTATTTCAAATGTATCTTTTTTTACTGTACAATATTATTATACATATAATTACGTAATTCATTTTTTTACATTACCTTGGCATTCTAAAAACAGTACTCTGCCGACTTTACCAGATGCGTTTTTTAAAAATTTCACAAACTTCGGCGGCGGCCCGTATGGTATGAGACTGAAAAACGCATTTGAATTAAAACGAAATAAACTCTAGTCGTAACAATCGTGTACACTAGGCTACATATTATAGTCTCATCGTCACTACATACCTGTCTGCGTCGTGGTTTCCGTCGAGTGGCGTGTGAGTCACTTGTATTTTTGACGTAGACAGCGCGGTGCCCATGACATTTGTCGCCTCGCACGTGTAAATGCCCAGGCAGTCTTCTTCGGAATTCGCCGTCAGCGCGAATATGTCGCCGGCTTTGATCTCCTTGTCGTCTTTGTACCATCGTAACTTGGGCGTCGGGACACCGATCACCTTGCACTCCAGGGAGACGATTCCACGCTGCGTCAGCACTGCCTTCAGCTGCTCGATGAAAATTGGTCTTTTAAACGCTTTCGGAACTATAATAGAACAGCATCACACATTAGAGTAATATGATATTGTGTAATAAGATTTAAACATTCTTCTTAAGTATTCAAGTAACGAACAAGTAATATAAAATGTATTACAATTTAATATTTTAATGTTTAATATATTTGATATGAATTTGTTTAATTAGATTAATTAAACACGTAGGCATTCCTTAAATTATATTTTGTTGAAAATACTTAATACTTAATACTTAAAAATCTATTAAAATAAATATTTTATAAATAATTGTTTGTATCTGTAAAAATAATTAGTAATTTGAAATTGTTTGATTAATATTTTAAATACTCAAACTCTAAAGATGTCGCAATTTCAAGTGTTATTTTAAATGTATGTATATTTATTTGCATAAAATATTAAATAAACCAAAAGATACATCAAGCCACTGAGGATAGGGTTAAAATATTTACAACTAATGATATTAGGTATAACATGTACAAAATAATATTTTAGATATTCTGAATAAAAAACAAAAAACAGTATAATTTACAAGACAGGATTTAGATGGTAAAAGATTAAGGAAATATATTTCCAAGCAAACTCACCTGTTAGCGATAAATGAGCAGCGGTTGACGATTTCCCGGCGTAGTTCTGTGCGGTGCACACCCATAGACCTTCGTCAAACAACGTCACAGGAACAATGTCCAAACAAAAAAACCCTCCCTCGTGAATGTACTGGTATCTTTCATTGTCGGCCTCTACGTTGTTGTGGTACCAACGGACCTGCTCAACATTAAAATACAATATTTTATATGATTTTATCAATTTTTGATTTTTTCTAGCATCGCTTAGAAATAATATTATATTATGTTAACTCAATCCTGTACAGTGTACAAAAAAAAAAAAAAAAACACGACCAAAAAAATAATGTAATCGAAAGTCATATTATATTATGACTTGACTGAAAACTGATTTTGAAATATCTCTAGTTTATATTTCTATAATAATTTATAGTAAAACTGCATGTTTTTTCAGTATACTGTTTCTATACCTGTATCTACAATTGTAGATTTTGTGACCTTGTAGTGGTTTTTAGAGATACTGTGTTAAATCGTGTGTTTGGTAATTTTCCCTGTTAATGCATTATTTTTTTTAATCCTGTAGTACATACTACGTCAAACCTAATTTATAGGGCTTTCAAAATTAACTCTATGGTAATATATTTATCGACATTCAAAATGTCTAGATTGGTTAAAACAATATTTTATACATTTGTTATGAAAAAATGCCACTTTTTAATTTTTTAGACCACTGCAGTGCGATGTAGTCGTTGAAGAGCAGGCACTGTCTATATTTATACTCGACGGACCAAATAATCACGTGACCCGTCTAAGACAACAAGTTTGTTTATAAAATTAAATTATATAGTAGCTTTAAAGCCATCACTAGTTTAATATGAGAAATAAAGCCGATATAATTAATATGAAATAATTAGAGGGCTATAGCGTTAATAACGAAAACCCATCAATACTTCTAGAAACTATTTTGAAAAAACAACAAATAACAATACAAATGAACGACCTGTTTTCGACCTGCAATTGGTTATATACTTACTGGGTATATATACATATATATATATTTTTTTGTATACATTATTCAATCGCTTAAAACACCCACCTGAACACCCGTAGCGTCGTCGAGCTCAATCAAAAACCTAGTTCTGGTCCCGACTCTGATGTTAAGGTCGTTAAGGCGTCTCAAAAATATTGGGATCAGATCTTCTTGGCCAACAGTACTCGATGAACCACCTCGGTAATCCTTACTACCAACATCAGAGTTATTACTGGACTTCATGGTGAGGGTGGTCAAGGAGTCACCAACGCGAGTAGAGGTTCCAAAAGTGATTGCATGACTTCCGCCCGATCTATAAAATGAAATAAGTTTTCAATGTTATTAAAAAAAAATCTCTTTAATAAAGCGATTACAATTTTATATATATTATTAAACTATTTTATTTGCGTCGGGACACAATGTTTTATGCCAAAATAATTTATTTGAATTTCGTGCTTGATAAACATTCCATTAAAAATGAGAAAAACAAATTTATAAATAAAATCGAATTTTATTTCAAAAACGCAATAGGTAAAGACTTCACTTAGTCACTTAGATAATTTTTTTCTCCACTTAACTTCTCATATATTGTACAATGTTAAATACATATTACATAGATACCTATATTAAACTCGCGGTATGGCTGAGTTGTTAAACTTTCGTTACCTAGCGGGGTCAAGGACGATTATTATTTTTAAATTCAAAATATAAATTGTTACACACTGCTATATTTATACATGATAGGTATACAAAATTGTTAAAGACAGTTGAATATAAGGAAAAATATATACATCAAAACCTAATGGGTATGACATGCATGTACGATATTATAAAATATACGATGTGGTAACGTATAATGTTGTATGAGGATGATTATAAATCTATCAGTGTTTTTATTTACTTACGGTTTTGGCTTGCGGAACGCCGTGAACAATAAACGCACCAAATACCAAAACAAAACTATCATATTTTTATCGTGGTAATTTTGTCAGCCATATGGGCATTTTATAATAATAAAATAAATGATGTATTGACAATTTTGATCTTAATATAGGTACCTACAGCATGATTATCGCGGGACGGAGTGCGCCTTATTTTTTCGACTGCCGGTAGCTGTGGCGTTAATGAAACTCATACGGAAATAAACTAACCTAAAAATAACGCGGTGGCCCGAACCAATCACAAGTGACGTGAACTGTCACGACGACGGGCCCACCTCAACAATAATAATTGACGACCGTTGTTCTCGACTTGGCTGACGGGTGTCTCGCCAAAAAATCAAATAATAATTATGTCATGTCTTACAGATATGGTAGATAATGGTATAGTAACAAGTATCACAAGTGGTTGCGGTGGATCTTCGGACATCGTTAAAATAATACTCATTGATGTTATAAAATTTAATTTTTGGATCTAAAACAATGCAATGTCAACTATTACACATTTTCGTCAGTCTTATAAGTTATAACGTTATAACATATTTGAAGGATACTAAAATTGTTAAATTTCATAATTATCATCAAGTTGAATAATTTAGTGAAAATAATTAACTGTGCAAATTAAGTTAATTCAATTAAATTGCCTTCAGTTAAAAGTTAATAATTAACAAAAAAAATTTAACTAGATAAGTTTAAAATTAAGATAGAAAATAAAATTAACTTAACTTAGTTAAAATGAAAGTTAATTTTTGTTCAAGCATGTACCTATTTGATTTACAAAAACATTTACCAAGTCGTTTACATATTGTGTAAAAATTAGATTATTATAATAATATATAATCAGAAACCAAATGAACAAATACGAAAAAGTAAAAAATCAGTATTTTCTTGTTAGTTCCGCATGACATGATAAGAAAATTAACTTAACTGGATGACAACGATAATTAGGTAACTATAAAAAGTTAAGTTATAACAATACAAATGTTAACTGATTACAAAATAAATTAATAAGTTAAGAACAAAAATAATCAATTTAAGAACCCCTGGACCCCCCCCCCTACACGTAAATCTGCCACTGTGCCACTAGTATGAGTGTACCAATTGTTTAGATTTAAACCTGTTAGCAAAATACATGATAGCTTAGGTTTCTCCATTTTTTAGAAGTATTTTTTTACAAGACAGATCGTCGTACTTCATTGGGATCTATGCAATGATGAAAATAATAAAATATTATAATGATTCTGTTTTCGACAATGGTGACAAAATAAATTATTTTGTTTTGCATAAGTTCCTAAAAAATGTAGTTGATTAATTAAAAAAAACGTAGGTACTTATAAATACATATAGAAGTAGACCGAAAGTAAGTCATCGTGAGGCCACGAGGGAGTATACCTAGTTTGTTTACGGTTCTTATAAAAAGTCCGACAATGATCAGAGAGGCGTTCCCGATGCTGGGTACAATTATTATTATTATTACTATGATTCTGCCCGTCCTTCCTAAAAATAGACTATTTTTCAAGCCAACGTCGTCGTCGTTGTTGTTCTGTAGATGGAGATTAATGTGTCACGCGCGTACATAATATAATATATTATTTTTATGCCCACAAATTCCAAAAGGGCAACTATATACACGCCTGGCGAGATACTATAATCGGAATGTCATCTGTGCGGAGCAAATTTATACCTAATAATCATAAACTGTTACTTACCGCCAACAGAATGTCGTTTCGCGACTGTATAGATACTTAATTAAAAACAAAACACACGACAATAAATTGCGTTAAATTGTTTGCGAGTTTGCGACTGAGTGAGTGACTAGTGACTTTAAGCGATATAATTAACAAGCTTCGAAATGTATAACGTATATTATATACATCAGGTATTTCACAATTTCGCTAATAGGCATAATAATATTGGTCCAAATCGGCTTCGTGATTTTTGAAAATATTTTATTGAATTCCATTCGACAGAGCAGAAAGTAATTAGAACACAATTAAAATAATATGTGCATTATATAGTTCTATTACATTTTATATAAATATACATGATATATTGATGTTATATGTTGAATAATGAATTTCTTGATGTCTTATTAGTTATATTATGTATCGTTACTGTTTACTAATTAGTAATATCGATTTTTCATCACGTGTACATTCAATAATTAAAACAAAATTATATAATAATATTAATTTGCTAAATGATTTCCTTGGTTTATATTTTATAGCAATGACGTAGGTAGGTAAAATATTCAAAAAGAAAACATCGAGAAATAAATGTGTAGGTGTTTCTGATAAAAACAAATCATAATTCATCATTAATACATAATTTTTATTATTTACATAGGAGGTAAAACAGAGTTTTAAATGTAACGCCCAGTACAATTGTTTTGACGATCAAATTCTAAACAATATTACTGTGTATTTTATTATACTTACACGTACCTATATACCAAATTATTAGTAAAACGATACAAAATATTATAGTTAGTTTAAGTTCTAAGTATTTTAAATGCGCTATTCACTGCAACTACTCCGGGATGGTCATAAGTTGGATTTAAGCCGTGTCAAGTATTCAATACATATTTTGTGATTTCAATGTTTAATATTTAAAAATACCACAAGTTTAATTCGATTCTAAATTATAATGCGTGGATTTGTATTTTAACTTTGTTTCGGTCCTGACATTTTCTCACGGAGAAGCAATTATATAAATAAATGTTAATAGTATTTTACAAGTATTGATTTAGAATCCATGCAACGCTGTACGTATTACTTTTATCGTAAATAAACAGATTTAAAAATAATAATTTATTGATAATATATACCTACTTTTATAACTATTATGACGATATTTATGGTTAGAGTAACTATTAGTTACAATATACATTCAATATTTACACGAATAATACTTTTGTATTATATGCACCAAGAGCAAAATCTGTGTTTTTGTATGAAGTACTAAGTATAAATCTATATTGCATATGTGAAATGATACAATAGTTTATTGACTATGGATAATTACTTTTCATTAAAACCATACCCACGTGATCTCCAGACCTTTTTAAATATCGATGATATTCCGAAATATGCAATAAATAAAACACTAATTATAGGTATTCTGACGTATGAAAGTTAAACCCTAACGATCGAACACATTACGTTCAACTTCCCTAATTGCCTATAATCTCCTAAATACACTAAAGCGCATAAAATCATCTATAACAAGCACTCACCATTCGGAAGAAAATTCTGAAACCGTATACAATATTATATTTTTTTTTTTCATAAAACTAATTTTAGTTAAAAATATTGTTATAATAAAATAACTGTCATTAGCTTAAAGATATTATAACCTGTATGGTTCTAGTTAAATAGGTAGCTTAAGTAGGCTAATAACATATATGATGTTGACTGTTAAAAATAATAAAAATATTAAGTATAATAAAATAATAATAATAATAAATAAAATATATTATTATTGTAGATCGATTAAACGATATTACAAAATAAAATCTCGAGATATAAAATAATGGCATTTTAAGAATGTGTGTTTGCGTACCAGCTAACGAATTCTAACGAGAAAACACAATAAATATCACATAATCGTAAATCTAGAAATGAGTAATTAATTTTTACGATAATAATTTTACTGCAGCGTTATAGTTATACCAAATGAATTATTCGCATCAAATTAATCAAAACAAAAAAAATACTCTGTAAAATGTGTGTTGAATCGTTTTGAATTAATTACATCCCATCGGAATTTCAAAGTCCTAAAAGTTCAGCAAGTCAAATCTGGTACGATCGTGACCTAACATTTCTAGTGGAATTTCAAATATATCTATTGACAACAATAACTCTTATGGTTGATATAAAAAATAAATATATTGGTATCCTCCACATATAATTTCAAGAATAATATAATAATATATTTCAGGTTTTCTGAGTTTTAGAATTTTTAGGAATTTAGGAATTTTTTTTTAATATTTAAAAACACCTACGTAAGTGAATATTTTTATTTCTTAATATTTACGTCATAATATTCAATATAATTTCAATAATTAATACATTTTTAGCATTTAAAGTATATACTATATAGATTTATAAAGTAGTGAAACTTGAAAGTGAAAATATGTGGAGGAAGTCGACCCCCTATTTCCACACTATTACTGTTATATAAATCAATTAAGCTATTACTTATTAGCAACATATACGAAATAGAGTAACAGTTAAAAATCTAAAAAGTCCAGACACTATAAAATTATTACATACGATAGAAGTCTGATTATATCTTTTAAAATTTTAGATCACTCTTTTGATAACCAATGCTGTATTGGAACATAAGTCATAGTGGTCACTGTGAACAAAATAATATAAAAACGTAATGTATTTTTCTTACTGCTCTGAATCTAAATGACGAGCGATTTCTGTAAGTTGCTCGAAAAAGTTCGCTTCTTGTGACACAAAAAAAACCCACTACTTACAGAAGCAGTTCGTTCTTTCTAATATAAAATGTATTTATTGACCATCGATCCATCACTCTGCGAACAGTTATTGTATCGAAAAAACGATGATTTTTTTTTTCTGGCGTCGCTCGTAAACAGTTAACACACGTTTCACGCTGGTGCAGAGCTGTTGTCACGGATCGGTCGTTGGAATTATATTTCTGTCTGCACTCTAGATTATAAATCGTATATTTTCACTCTGCTCGCGGTCCACAAATAAATATGTTACATTAGTCAGACGAGTACAGGCAATATAGCGTCTGGAGTTTGAAATTTATGCGTTTTGATTTCAAGATGATCAAAAAAAAAATCCACAATTTTTTTTAAAACTGACAACTTTTAAAGTATCTCATTGACGTATAAACGACGTGACGTCATATACCTCTTCAGGAAATGACAAGGACCTTTTTATATTTATAGAGAAAGGCAAATCAGGATAATCGAAAACATATTTGTCGAAAATAATAAATAATTTAAAAGTTCGTTAACTTGCCATTGGTGCTGGTTTTTCAAGTACCTAACAATGTTTAACATTTTGTTTTGACGTATTATATTCATATAATCATAACAAAAAATAAGTAAACACATAAACGTATCATAAAAATGTATGTATGTGATAAATAATATATTATATTGGTATCAAGATTACCAACGTTAGAACTTATAATAATATACCTATGGATTACATTTAAAAGAAAAATCGAGAAATATCCGTCACAATAGTAGGTACACAATTCGAAACGAATGTGTTTATGGCACAAGACTTTTTTGTGCTTGTCACCGATGGCGGATTCCAAAAATCTTTGTTGTTGCTCGAAGAAATTTTTATGAAAACCGTATTGATATTCTAAGTACCTAATTGTGTAAACTAAAATACGGGATACGGTAAATTTTAATTTCTAATCGATTTTCGTCTAGAGCCATTTAAAAAAAAAAATATTCTTATTTTCCGATTTTACGAGATAAGTACCACACGTTAAAAAATTATGACGGTGAAAGCGACCGTAAACGCGTGCCATGACTTTCATGATATAAAGCTTACGAGTTTGCCGCCATGGCAAAAATTTATTTATTCATTGGTCGTATTACATCGGGTCGTCGGGTATGTACACGAGTTGTAGCGGTCGCCGGGTCGTGACGTCTCGGAATGCGCTGCTGCGTCCGTCGATCGCACTTACCGGAGGATCGAAGAGTTGTACGACGAGAACGATCTGATGGTCGCGTTGGCGCTACTGTACGTGGACGACTGGTTTTTGCAGCATTTGTTTCCCATAATAATAACAATAATAATATATTATTTTCGTCGTCGACGTTGTTATAGTGTTGTCTGCGGTGCGAACGACGACGTTATTGTCCCGATAAAACTCCAGCCGGACCGTCGCCGACCGTTCGCCATGCAGCGGCCATAGGTATGTCAGCACACGCAAAAAGTGGAAAACCTCAGTACTGCAGCGGAAAACCCCGGTCCGTCCCTTCCGCGGGTCCGAGTGAAACTCGCGTGATACCGCTCGGCGGCGGCGTCGGCTGGGACTTTTGCGGGAACGGGTCCAAACGTTCGGGCGCGCGCGGACCGATGACGGCGGACTGACCCACACACGGAATTTATTTTTGGGTCGCAGCGCGTTCCGCTACGGCGGCCTACACGATAATAATATGCAAAAGCGCGTCGCGTCGCGGTTCGGACCGGCAGCGTTTTGTTCGCGTCCGCCTCCGCGCGGACCGTCGGCGAATCCGCCGCCGCGGACGGTTGTGAAATTCCCGCCCGAAATTCCCGCCACCGACTCCGCAGTCGGAGGTGTACCCAGAAAACGGGAGCTGTGGCCTCATCAGGGCTCGCAGGTAAATGCCACCGGTCTGCATAAAAGCTGACACCGCGAGCAGTTTAGGTCGCGAGGTGGCGAGTTATTTCGCGCGCGCCCGCCATGTTTACTGCACGTATATAGATGCACTTGTCCGATCGAGGGAAATACGTGGCGGCACCTACGCCAAAACATAATATGTCATTACAAATGATCTCCGAGTTGTGTACCCCGGTGACGAGTACCTATATGCGCGCCTATATCATCGCGAATAATTGCCTTTGATTATTCGTTCTCAAACATATTCTAACATTATAATATTAACTATAATTCTTATAAGCCTGCCGGCCACCGTCCGCGAATCAGACGGTAGCAATATTATCACCAGAAATTCCTACAGCGAAAAGTATAGGTTAGGTTAGGTTAGGTATGTACCTATAGAGAACGGTAGCTGCAGCTGCAGCTGGTCGAGACACGATCGTGAGGTGGCGAGTTATTTTGCGCCACGTTCTTCTATATACATTATAATATACTGCACGAATGCACTTGTCTGATCGAGGGAAATGAGTGGGCATTACCTACGTCAAAACATATTATTATCTCTGATTCTGTACCTCCGTGACGAGTACGCGTATATCATCGCGAATATTTGTCTTTGAGTATTCGTTCTCAAATCGGCACCTATATATGTTCAAATGTATAAGTTTATTCCTTTTGTGTTAGCAAATATTTAAATTCTTATCGCTCTACGTTCTGGCATTAGAATATTACCTATAATTCTTATACGCCTGCCGGCCACCGTCCGCGAATCAGACGGTAATAATATTATCAGCAAAAATTCCTGCCGCGAAAAGTGATTATAAATTGTTCGATTCGCTCTTCCGCCAGACTCATACCTTTCCCTTTTCCACTAAATCAAAAAAGTTAGCATAGTATTTGAATAATATTTAAATATTATATAATATACATGCCAGTCATATTATAATTTACATATAAAATTAAAATTATTTTGTAAATTAAATACAGGATTCATAATGATAGTTTTTATTCTTACCACTATTAAAAAGTGTACTATTTACAAATAAAATTAAAATTGATGAATTTCGTACTTACAACTTTTTTCATTGGGCGATAAAGTGAATTGGCGGAAAAGGGAATTAAACAATTTATGATTTGGCGGAAACGGGTAACGCCAGAGCGAACGGTAGCTGCAGCTGCTGGCAGGTAAATGCTACAGGTCTGCATAAACGCTGCTGCGGGTCACAACAAGGCAAGCTGCAGGTCGTGAGGTGACGAGTTATTTCGCTCGCGCCCGCAAAATAAACCTATATAGGTTTATATATATATATATATATATAGCTTCGGTTGTCAGATGGCGGAAAATGCATAACGTAGATTTGATACCTACGCCAAGGGATTAACGATCTCTGAATGGTATACCTCAACGGGTGTCGAGTATTATCGTCGTCATTTCGTCAATGAGATTGTCTTGAATAATTCATTTTCAAATACTTATATTATTATGAGTAAATAATTTTCAGTTTACGTTAGCAAAGATTTAGATTTGTATAGTTCTAAGTTCTCTGAGTTCTAACATATAATTATTATATGGACTGGATAGTTATTTTATTCAACAATACAAACACTAACTTTTTCGACAATTTTCTTTTTGAAAAATACAATTTAACACTCCTTACAATAATATGACGTAAATACTTAATTCAGATATTTTGTAGTTTCATTTTTAAGTTTTTTGGAACTATTTTTACAAGAATTGAATGATCGAAGAATTTTTTTAGTTAATTATTTATTTACGTTTGATACAATTTGTGTTTGTTAGGAAAAAATCTACAAAATTTAAAAAAGTTCCTCATAGTCTTCCTTACCACAATTAATTAATAATATCGAAAATACAAAGTTAAAACAATTTTTATAAGTATTTATGTTTCAAATAAGTACAAAATAAGTTCAAATTATTTTGTACCTTGTCGAAAATTTATAAAACTAGTGAATTTGACCACCCAAGGATTTTAAATGAAGCAGAATACTTATCTAAAAATGTTGGTGTATAAATTCTTCCGTGGTAGATGATTATGATATTAAAAATATGTCAGTACAATAAGGCCACAACTTGAAATTTATGATTTTTGTGTTTAAGATGTCTATGAATTCGTAATTTTTTTCTCTTTTTTTTTTGTAGTGACGCTATTTACTTCTTTATAATAATAAAAATATAATTTGCTAAAAATTTTTATTGCATCGAACGTACCTATATGCCTATTTCCTAAATATTATTTAGCAGTAATACAAAATGTGGCTCGTTTACAGAAACAAGTACTTAGTACATAGGTTTAGAACAATAAGAACATATTAAATTGAAATATGGAGATTTTGCAACTTAAAACAATCAAACTTTTAGAGCTATAATGCCGCATACTGAGCTAATAGTCATAATAATATTAATATTGGGGACGAGGTGGCCGAGCGGTCGGACACGTCGTCTGCGGCGCTGGCGGTCGCGGGTTCGATCCTCTCGACCACTGTGCGGTATTTTTCTCCGGGCAAGTCACGGTGTCCGGAGAACAAGTGCCGCCATCCCCCACTCCGGGGCATGGCAGAAACCTACGGGTGCCCCATTCAAAATTCTGCCAAAACCCAACACACACGTGTTCCTCCCCCTACCGTAATAACAAAACACAAAAATAAAACCACTAACACCCAATGGCCTATGTTGCCGCGGGTTATCCAATAAAAAAAAAAAAAAAAAAAAAAAAAAAAAAAAAAAAAATATTAATATTAAATAAATAATGATTTTATTATCAACAATTTATTACACTCATTTTTACTCTATTCATACACTATCTCTCTAATTCATAGTATTTAAATTGTGTATATTGTTGTATTATTATAATAACAATAATGAGTAATGACTTATCACGGTAGATTTATAAATCTTTTGGATTTGTGTGATATAAAAATATCTATTAAAACTTCTAAAAGAGCTAACATAAAATAAAACCGTTTAAGTAGATACCTATTTAGTAGTTTATTGCACTTTGTAAAACTTGTATTTTTCTAATAAAAATATTTATATTACCTAGCCTTATTAGGTATGTATTATTGAATTAACATCATAATACTGTTACAAAATGTATACATTATTAAAATATTTTTTAATCAACTACCTACTACAAGTAAAAATAATAATTCTATTCTAATTTCTATGATGATCAATACTCAACCACAGTAGAAAATAATGATGAATTGAGGAAAAATGATATATTTAAAAAAATAAGGAAATTAATAGAGACAGAAGCGATGTTATTTATTTTTTATTTTAATATAAAAAGCGATAGTATTATTATAATTTTAAAATTATAATATTGTTTTGTAATAACAATAATTGAATATACAAATTATTGTAATTCAATGTTAATATTGTTATAAATAAGGAAACTCAGAGACAGACGAGCTGTTATTTATTTTTTATTTTAATACAAAATGTGATATTATCATTATAATTTTAAAATTATAATATTATTTTATAATAATAATAATTGAATATACAAATTGTTATAACTCAATGTTAATATTGTTAAAAATAATCAAACATTCAATAGACTGAAGTTGATTTTTATTTTATAAACTAAATATTAGAATATGGTATTATTTTATTTTACAGTTAAAGCGTTTTTAGATCAACATCAACGTATTTAATAATATTACTATATTAATCAAATCATAATTTGTAATACTTTATACCTTTTGTTTACGGCCAAAATAATATTAAAATCAATTTAAATGGTGGTGCAGTTAAATCATGACTGGACAATTTTAATTTTCGTTCTTTCAAGATGAAATCACACAAAAGTAAAGATATTTACAAGGATAAAAATCATTTGATTATAATCACAACAAAAGTATAAATATGTATCTAACCTTAACATTATTTTAGTTTGATGAAAACATTTTTATTTTATTTTAAACTTTCATATTGATTTCCTGAACATTTGCTTTTTTGAGTTATTGCCTTATTGTACTTACAGTGCGATATTATAAAAAGGTATGATCATTTTTTAGTAATATAAAATATTGTATTATACCTATTATGCTCATCTCATTTAAACATTAAGTATTGATGTGCCTCTGCAAATTTCGTCCCGTACTCCCTTAAACATAATTAATATTTATAGACAGTTTAACTTAAGAAAACAATAAAATATATTTGTTTCAAAATCATTTCGATTCTGGGCGGAGTAACGAATGTATTGATTTTACAATAGTATTATTTTTTGTGTGTGTGTCGATTTTCAACTTCAATATCTTTCTTGGCTAGAAAGCGTAAATCTAGTTGGGCATTTTAAAAGGTCAGTATTTTATACTGTAAACAAAAATTTAAAAATTATATAACTACAGTTTTTTTTAATAGATAATTTAAGTTCAAATTTGGATGAAATTAGACCTTTAAACAGAG